AAAATTAGAATGGTAAAATTAGATTTCATCTAACCACGCTTGAAAGCACAAATAAAATTACCCTCTTTCTTTTGGGCATTTTCTTTAACAAATTCATTTTTTTCACATCACTGTTTTGTGTCTGCTTCATTGAAGAGGCCGGGCCAAATGAAGGCCCCTTTTTATGATGTAAATAGACATGCAAAATCTAAAAAAGATCCTAGTTTAAGTCTATAAAAGCTGAAACATTTCATGAGGAACAAATTTTGTCGACCCAGTTAGTTTAGGCCTGACCAGAAATTCAACTATTCATGACAGATATATCTTATTCTTAAGCCTTCCTTATACTTTGCATGTCATTACTAAGAAACCGAATCTGATCCATTTATCTCGAGATGGCCTTAGCTTCAAGCACACACACACACACACTCACGCACACCCTGCTGTCGCAGATTAACTGACATGAGGATTTTTGAAGAAATCTGAGCCCTCTATCTCATCGGTTTCTTATAAAATAACTATGAAAAATGAAAAGGGGAAATTTTCCCACTAAGTCTCGCAGATAGAACATTTCCATTACCAAGAGTGACAGTCAAACAGTTATTATAGTCATACAGTTATTGTTGCTTGCTATTGTGTTTCACGGTTATCACCCTGTACACCCCTGAGCACAAATTAGAGTAACATGTGTCCAGAAAAAAATGATGTATCGTTAATTTAGTCAAACTCTGAGGAGATACAATACATGAACCCCAGGAATAGGACTTCCACAAAGCCTGCCATAATTGAACTCTGCCTCCCATCACTCACACCAGACCATTGTGCCAGTGGAGACTATTCTTGATGACTCACCCCCGTATTAATGGCCAAACAAAGGCCATTCTTGCCGAGTAAGTTCATAAAAACCCTGGTGAGTTGTTAAATGGCAGATTTTTTTTTTATAGCCAGTGGAATATTTCAGAATTTTATGCTAAATGTTAAGCAAATATGTCAGGAGAACAATACTGATGGGAGCTCATAGTGAGGAAGGAAAAGTGAGACCAAAGGGGTTTCTGTGGCCCAGTGCATATTAAAATAAGTTTGTCCACACTGAAAAAGACGTATATTTCGTGATCCTAGAGAATGGTGTAATGAGGAAGGTAATGGCAGGCAAGTACTGCGATTTTCATAAATATGAATTCACGATAATTTGTGATGGTTCTATCATTAATTTCTTTTTGGACACACTTAGGGTTTATTCGGTATCACCAACTATCCTAATTTTCATGTTCTTGGACCATGAAGGTATACTGGTGTACCTGCATGCAAAGGCTTTCCAGAACTGTATTATGTCATTACTAATTTATGTGATGACATAATTGATTTATCAAGCTCTTTTTGTATTAAAAAAGGCGGATGAACTTTAAACAAAAACAAAAAGATATTGAACATCCCAGAATAAGATGTATACAAGGTATAAAATCAAGATAAGACACATTATAGGAACTTAGCAATGGAGACCAGACCTCAACCAGCCAAATGTCAGCGGTGTATGATGAGGTTCCTGTAATGTGTCATATGTGACACACGTTTGCATTTATATTTATTAAGATTTGGTGTAGATTTTCTTTTGGCAGTTATTATTATTTGATCCTTTGAGAGCAGTGTCTAGTTTATATAGGTGACGGACTATAGAGAGAAAATCAAACCTGCTTTACTCTGATCACAGTTCAGTCTATTGAAGCATGCTCAACTTCATGACTTTCACCTTCTTGTTCTGAGTCGATGCTGCTTTTACCTTCAAAAACTCTAAATAATTGACATGTCAGACTCAGCGAGATGCTCGGAAGGCACTATAGGGATGTTCAGTCCATTCTGATATAATGGACCTGTAGCTGGCAGAGAAAATAGTTCTGATGGAACACAAACTACAGCAGACAACCAGCTGTACCAGACTGTGATGTATTTTACTTACATAAGGATGCATGAATCACATCATCTTTCTTCTCAATGTCCTTAATAGAAATTGCTTTTTTAAGTGACAGTTGTGGAGCCTTTTTTTCTTCTTATTAGATGAAGCACCCAAATGGAAACAAAGACTAACAAAATAAACTTAGTACCAGTGCACAATCTGTTTGAAATGTAATGTTCAGATTCAAGAAACTTTCAAATGCCTGTTTCAGTCAGAATTTTAAACTGTCAAAGATTGCACAAATGTATTCATCATTTTTTTATTTTTTGTCTTTCTGAAACACAGTATCACAGCAACGTTTGAAAAGGCCTTAAAGCAAATGTATCTTCATGTTGTTTGAGTCTGACTGAAGAAACTCCACTGTGTTTTTTTTGTTGTGAGGATTAAACTAGGATGGCTCAGAAAAAAAGTCCTGTGGCTAAAAACCAACATTTCTATGCATGCATTTTCTGTACCAGTCATAATGGGCCAAAGGCCTTGGAGTCTATATTGCACGCAACAGAAATGAAAACCTTCACATTGATTCCCCTTGAAGAAATACATGGGATCCCTGTTGCACAAGATGGTTATATCTTTCTTTGTTTAAAGGTTATTTCTCCTGAATCTGTGTTAAACAAGAATTTCAATGAATGTCTACTTAATTGTTGGCCACTCATCCAAGTGTATTGTTATTTTAGCTCTAATTACTAAGCCAGTGACCAACGTAATGACCGACTTTCTTAGCAAGTCATTGTTTACATCTCTAAAACGCAATCTTAACAAACGTGTAGAAGACAGAGAGATTTTCCCATTTCTTCCTTCCGACGGAGCCTTTCACTGCTTAAATGCACACTTTACACCTAAGTGATTTAATGCACTCCTCACCCTAGCACAGAAGTGTAAATGGAACTAAAGGGGCTTTGCTCTTAACTTCTCTGTTTACAATTTACTCCAGTCTAAGGACAACCGAGGCTCTTACTGCAGCTTGATAAAGATTAATGGCAGCAGGAAATCAGTAATCTCCCACCACCACCATCAATCTGTACACAGCTTTAGGTCCCAGGCCAAGGGTTTTGTTTAGGAAGCAGAGTGTGATCCAATCTTATTTTTCAATTATTGCTTTGGAACGCAAGCCAAAGAGGTGCATTGAGAATTTGAACGCAATGAGGATGCTTTGCTTAAAACTGCTTTTACATTTCTAACCACAAAGGAATTATTTTAAAGCTTCTTTTACTCACATGCTTTTTCAGCTCCTTCCAATCTATACTTAGTTTGGGATAAAAACCTCAACATCATATATCGGCTTCATCCCCATGGGCAAAATAAGTCAGGCGTGATGCCTTGAAATCAATAGCTCTTAACATTCCTTCAAGCTCTGGTATCAGCCTAACAAGTTCCTATCACCTGCCATCAACATAGGCATAGAGAAAAACATTTGATGTTCAGTCTTTGTATTGAAAACGAAGTCAAGAGAAAAGCTGCAAAAGTCATTGATTGCTCATGTGAAAAACACAAGCGCCAGAAATGGGCAACACAACCATTTTTTTCATTTCTTTTGTTTTTTCACCCTATATTATCATGTTTATGTAGGGTAAAAAAAAACGACCTCAGCCACTGTTCTTTTTTAAATAAATGGGAACACATCATGTGAGAAGACAAAAATGCAAATATCTTTTTTAAAAGACATAGCTTTTAAAAAAGAACCTTAAAACCATAGGTATCATAAATAACATAGTATATAAATATTAAGTATATGAGACTATTTTGGGAGTTACTATTCCTGGCGAACAGCTCATCATTTTTTGTGCTTACGTTTACATTTATATTTATGAAGACTTTAACCCTGGTGAGGTTTCTTTGACCATCGAAATTAGACATCTTTGAATCTACCAATTAAAATTCACATGTTTTAGACAAAAATAACCTATATTTTTATTTTCCTTTTTTGCCTTTGCAAATTGTGGATGTAGAGGGCTTTGAGCTGGACCATCTGTAAATGTTTGCAACCACAATCAGTGGATGTGGCAGGAGTAAGTTGCACATTTGTAAGAGACGGAGTGTGTTTACAGGTGTTGAAGCGGCCCCTGCTGCCATCGAATCAATGTTCTTTTAACAGGGAGAGCCTTGCAAGGTAATAACAGACGTTCAATTCTGCATGTGTTATGACCGCATTGCCATGTGATAAAAGACCCTTAGTGCTGAACGGCCCAGCCTGCAAACCAAACCTGTCACCCAGTGAGATATTTTGGTGTATATATGATGATATTAGCCTAAAAGAGTGATTCGGACTGAATCTTTTAAGAATAAGATTTAACTCTTAACCCTATAATGCCTTATGTTTCATATTTTAAACAAACGGTTTCTGAAATGATTTGCATTTGAGACCTTTTATGTCATTTAATGGTAAAAATGTTCCTCAAAACGCAGTTGTACACAAACAGATATCCCTGATAGGGTCAGAAAGACAGCACGATGATAGTTTCGATAAATCGCACGGTAATAAATGTATTTCTTTTCATATTTTGGGGCCAGAATAGACTTCAGACAAACAAAAAAATGTTTTCTCTCTATTACATATGTCTTTTATATATATCCATCAACTTTCTGAGCTGCTTATTCCCTAATGGGGTTACAGGAGAGCCTATGGAGAGGCGGGGTACACCCTGGAAGGTCCGCCAGTATGCATGAGGGCCCACCAGTATAGACACACGTGCACATCCACACACACACTCTCCTAAGGGAGGGAATTTGGAATGTTCAATCAAGCTAACATGCAGGACGGTTGGAGGAAGCCGGAGAACCCGGAGAGAACACCCACAGGGAGAACATGCAGACTCCACACAGAAAGGTCCTGGTTCCCCCGGGGACTTGAACCCAGAACCCTCCTGCTGTGAGCCGATGGTGCTAACCACCACACCACCGATCAACACCAACAGCTTCATTGCTTTTAGAATTATCATAAGAATTAAGAAAATGAATATTAATACGTTAAACTAACTCCATTCTGAAGAGATATGAGGCTTGTGATGGTCACATGGCTGAAAGTATCAGCTCTTCTCACAGGTTCTGTATTTTTAATAGATGATATCATTTTTTTATTATGAATATCCAAACTGAGGTTATTCAACATATCAAAGGCCGCAACACGCAGAGACTGAATTTTAGAACTTGGCAGTACATAAAAGAAAAAAAAACTTTATGATGTCTGTGTCCCTCTGGCTTCATTTCTGGTTTTGTTGAGGCGGCAAAAAGTGCTTGTTTTTTTCAGAGCGGGATGGTGCTGCTGTTTGTGGAACATATATTTGTTTGGTTTAATGGCGAGCCCGCCAGATGGATTGTCAGCGCTGCTTTTATTCAGCACATTCGATTGATGAGGCGGTCATGAGCTCCAGCCAAACGTCTGAACGCAGTACAAATAAAAGCTGGAGAGGAAAGCGTGGCTGCTTTGATTTACTAGTGCTCTTGACTGTTTTTTAATATAGTATGTAGCATCTGTAAAGGCTCGACAGCCAGTTTATAGAGACAGGACCCAAGATTTGGATCTGTTATGTTGCAATACCACTGTTAAGATAAAGAACACACAACGCGTAATGACTGCTGGATGAATGCTGCAGGCAGCCAGCAGAAGAGAGGCATTTTAATGAAGTGCTGACCTCTAGAGGAGAACTGCGGTGAAGAACACATTTGATTTAGCAGGATGAAAAACATGTGTGAACGGATCAATGTAATGGGAGCAAAACTATAAACCAAAACAATATTTAATTATACTATTTCAAAGACATTTTGTCAGAAATATAAGCAAGCGGGTGATGTCGGCCATGATCCTGAGCACTGTGCTCAACACAATTTTATCCAAGTCAAAAGCAGACATGGGTTTCACAACCAGCAAAGCACATTAGACGTGCTGTTGGAAGTAACATACGAGCATATTTTCCTCGTTGGACTTGATCTGGAAGGACTAACATTTCCTTTATACTAGATGAAGCACAAATGGGGACATGCTTTGGTAATTAACACGGTTTGGTGACATGTTTTATGATCACTTTTAGAAAATGATCTGGAATTAAATTAACGTTCTTTCTTATTACCTTACTTCAGATAATCTCCACCCAATCAACATACATATAGCTAGCAAACAAACCATAGGGCCGATTTAAGCTTCTCCACAGTGTCACCAAGTGCTAGCTTTAAGAAAAATGATAGTCCTCTCTGTCTCTCTATCTCTAAAGTGCCCTGAGACAGGTTTTTGTTGGGAATTAGTACTACAATGATATAAAAGTTAGGTGAACTGTGTATGAAGAGCAGTGTATAATTCTGCAAGCAAACATTAGAGGCTAATTTACAGTCATGCAAAATGCTCCACAGATGATACGTCAGCATGTTTTTTCCCACATAAATCTATTTATATTATTTTCAAATAAATAAAAATGCTATATTTTGTGTTTTTCGTCTAATCTTGCATAACTGGTTTACCACTTGTAAGTATGTACATCTAACAGCAGTTGTAACTCGGTGTTTACGATTCTTTGAGGTAAATGATACCGGTGTGACATGGTGTTATTTTTGGTGCTCTTATCGGCACCAAAAAACAGTTTTTGAAGTCGAGCGATCAGCGGAAAACAGATCAGGAAGAGCCCGAGGCGGAGTCTTCATCATCCGCCGTGTCGCACTCGTCGGCGGACTCTGTGATAGCGGGGTAGGGCCGCGGTTGGTCCAGGTTGACGTAGGTGACATTCAGACTAATGTAATGTTCTCCTTCCAGGCCAGTCAGGATGGTGGAGACGGCCAACACCAGAGTAGCAAAGCTGGGCCTCAGGTCTGGATCAGGGTCCCAGCACTGAAGCATGATGCGATACCTGGAAAACAAAAACAAAAAGCGAGAAAGAGAGAATGGAGTGGCCATCTCAGTCCATGATGTTATTAGCTGGTATTGACGATAAACCATTCACTTTTGATAGGCTGCAGCATGCCAGGTGAGGGATTTTTATCATACATAAAACTAGCATTTTTTAGATTGCTATCGTGCTGGATTAGTTATCTTCATAAAAAGGGCCCGAGCTGTCAATATTTCTACTTTAGAATTGATGGTATCCTCATGTCAGAGCAGTAAAAATGTATCTACCGCTATCATTTAGCAAATGACAGACTAAGACTGAGCAAAAATAATCCACAATTATCTATAAATGTCCCACTGTGGACCGCTTTTATAAGAATTCTCTTGATTTTTCTTGGGTTTGAGATTCTGTAATTGTACTCACTTGTGTGATGCAGAAAATGGAAATAATCAATCGAGTAGTTAAATATTCATTCATATTAGAAGTGCAACATCCAGTTTGTGCCTTGTTCAAAGTTTGTTCCAAATGTGATTACCAGGATCTGTACCTCCAGCAGCCCTTATCTCTTTAAAGAAAACGTTTTCCTCTCAATCACATTAAATATTTGTCCTAATCCTAACTGACTACAAGTTTAGTAATCACTGTAAGCTTTAATTACAATATGTTTTCTTTAATCTTTTTTAACTCGGGGCAAGAAAAGGTATTTCTTGCCTAACAAACACTAAAGACAGGCAGTTAATGATCCTGAACCAGGAAATAGTGTAACACTGTGTGTCTACACTTACAAATGAGTGCACAGGTTGGATGGAAGGAAAGAAAGAAAATTAGTTATACATAAAGCTATTGGTTGGCTGATTTATTTTAACCATGCAGCTTGCTTTGGTCCATTTTCACCAGGTTACTGCCCCCACTTCAAAAGTCATAGGCATCAGTGTACTAAGTGACAAATAGGAGAATATTTTCCGAAACATTTTTTTTGCTTCTCTCATGTCTTGCCTACGGCACACATGCTGCAGAGTGATACTTAACCGCTCAACCTACATTTGCGGACGAGGAAGGAACATGAAATACAAATGGCTGATTTACTCTCCATTGTTTTTTGAAGTGTTAACCAAAATCCAAATGTCCGGAGGCATTTATGACAAAAGGTCAAAGTCACACCACAGTGTGTGTGTGTGTGTGTGTATGTGTGTGTATGAGTGTGATAGAATCACGTGGTTAAAAGTCTGCTGTGGGCATACACATTAACCTAAAAAAAACACCATTGCGTAACTGTTGGAAATGTAGGTGGGTGACAATTTACAAGTTTCATACTACTGACTAACCATTTGAACATTATGTTATTACCGCTTGGACTTTGTGTATTTTGCCTTGTAGCCATATTAGCGTTACAGAAATATAACAGTAACCTCAGTCAAAAAGGGTGGCAATATTTGGCCATCGTTCCAACAACAACTTACAATGGGTCAGGGCAGTACTGTGGCTGGGGAAGCCTCCTACCCTTCATCAAGTAATGCGTTATGTCGTATGGGTCCACCTCTGGGTAGGGGCTTGCTCCTCTGGTCAGCATCTCCCACATTAGTACACCAAAGGACCACTGCATCAGGAGAAACAAACATATCACATCAACAAAACCTGCACTAGTTCTTTAGGTAGCTGGAATTTTTTACAGCAATGTTGCCAAACTAGAACGAAAAAGTTTAGATCTCCATGATGATGCAGGACTAATAGGACTAAGTATCAGTGTAGTATGTTGTGGTAAAACAGCATACACTTACAACATCTGATTTTGGGGTGAATTTCTGTGTTTGTAGACTTTCAATGGCCATCCACTTGACAGGCAGTTTAGCTTTCCTTTGGTCTTGAATACTGTAATATTCCTTATCAAAAACATCTCTAGCCATGCCAAAGTCGGCCACTTTCACGGTGTATGATTCATCCAACCTGGAAGTCAAAACGTCAAAATGTTTCTATAAAACTACAGGAAAGAGAAACATGATTGAGTTGCTGATTTGCCAGCACATTTTGGCAGCTCACATGCAATTGCGTGCGGCGAGATCTCTGTGCACGAACTTCTTCTGAGCCAAATACTCCATCCCCTTTGCGACCTGCAGCCCGAAGCCGATGAGATCCTTCACAGTGGGGTTCTAAACAAATCCAACAAAACACACACAACCGAGCAACTGCGTTATTCATTGGGTTAGCTAGTAGATGGTTAATGGGTCTCTGCCCTTTCAGTGCAGATATCGCACCCTCTTCTCGCAGCGTATGAAGTGGCGCAGGTCTCCGTGTTTCATGTAGGGCAGCACCACCAGAGGGAGCCCTTCCTGCGGCAGGAGGATGCCCAGCAGAGACAGCACGTTGCTGTGGTGAAAGCCCTTCATTATGATGCCTTCCTTTAGAAACTGCTCCACCTCCTCGACATCTGTAATTCCTGATGACATGGACATAAAGGCTATTTAAACAAGACAATGAACATTGACCATTTTTACAAGAAGAGAGAGACTTTCGGGTGCTCTCTTAAAGCATTGACGCTCTAATTCCTTTAGAGAAGTAAAGCAGTGTCTAAGTCCGTCATCCATTTACTCAATGAGAATTTACGTAACTATTTAGAGACTTGACGGCACAGTGAATTTCTCTGTTGTTGGAGTCCGTCAAGTAGCTGTGGTAGACAGTTCCAAAATGGCCTGCAAGAGAAGAAAGACATGACGGAATTATCAAGGATAGCTGCGTTTCTGATCAAATACAACACTCTGTCAGAGTTCCACGCAGGTTTTTTGGAGTCAGACACACACTGTTTTCCTACCCTTCCCTATGATCCGATGGTGCTGCACTATTAGCATGTCAGCAGGGATGAGGACATCCTTCACCTCCTCCAGCAGCTCCGGTCTAAAGCTGGAGATGGAGATCTTCTCTGATGGCATGAGGGGCGTGAGGGTTGGATCTATGCTGCCGGCAGCATAAGCCTGGCTGGGATACATCATCGGCCCCATCAGGGGAGAAGGTGGACTCATGGAAACTACTGGTTGGAGTTCAGAAAGATGGGGCTATTGAGAAGGGGTGAAGAGAAACTTCTGTGATGGTGCAACAAAAAGAAAGATAAGACGGTCACCTCTTCTATAGTCTCCTATCGGCGACAGCTCTACGGCATTTGATCCGGAGCGCGTAACACTGTGGGTCAGCCGTGCCTCGACCAGGGAGGCTGAAACACATTTCCCAACCCATTTTTTTTAATCATCAACCCCAAAAGAAGAACAGAACAAGTACATCCGAAACAAGACTAGAGATGTTCTAGTTGAAAGACTCTTGTAATTCGTCCAAAAATTCGAATCCAAACCTAATCCAAACTGGTTGTGTAAACAGTTTTGCTGATCAAGGTCCACTTAAGGGGGGGGCTCACCTTTCTTCTTCTTTCTCAAATGTTTCATAGCCACAAAGGCCAGCACGGCTCCAGCCACCAGAGCTGCCAGGATCCCTAGAACTATTCCCACCATGTAGTGGTTGTTGTCCCTCACTACTGTGCCAACGTGGTGGACTTGCCCATTGATGGAGATCTGGAGAACATAGTACAAGACACAGAAGCGTCAAAGTGTTGCTACTTTTTACATGTCTCTCCCACATTTCAGATTCATTGTGTTATTTTAAAGAAAGTGCTTTTTGGCTTATAGAATGACTGAATTTGAAGACTTCCTAGCATCAGTGATTAACCATTAGTGAGTTTAATGTTTATTTTTGGAATGTAAGGTTTGTCTGGGACTTGCTTCAAAGGAGGAATTATGCATTTGCTACAAGCATGTAGGGAACTATCTATATTTTGCACTACATATATCCCTCTCAACCAAGTAACTTTTTCTGGCAGTGGACAGATTTTCAGTACAGGATAATGACATCATCTGTAAACCTTTTCCTATGCTCAAGGCAAGAGGGGCCTTTCTCAAAATGTGTGGTTTCTAATGTGTATTAACTGAAATTTCCAGCTTTATATCAGCAAATATTATGTCCACCATTTACTTTTCTTTCTTTCTTTTGGAGAATTTGCTTAATCTCACAATCTCAATGTGAAGTTCACTGCTGTTCACAGATTTTATTAGCAATCTCTGTCCGGACAGGTGAATTCTATGGTCCGCATTTTTTATGGATATGATCACTACCCAGCCTGACCGACCTTCACTGGCAGTCCTTCACTGGGAATGGTCATGTTTTTGGGGATCCTGCAGGTTATTTCATTATCCAGGACTTTAGCATCGCAGTCGACATCTGCCACTGTCATAACGATGGTCATGCAGGAGCTCACAAGGTTCAGCTTTTGATGCTGTTAAGAAAGGATTCAAACTAAGATCTGAGACATTTACAAGAAAACAACTCTAAATCACCCATCCAAACAGGCCATAACATTACTACTTACGTGCAGTGACACTTCATCCGAGCCGGATTTTAAACTTAACACGTGTCCCTCCGTCTCAAAAGGAATAGGTTCCCCGTAGGGGTGATATGAGAAGTCTTTGTTCCAGAGGCCCAAAGCTCCATCCATGTCAAAAGAAAGCTTTCCCTCCTCGGTCTCGTCCCTCTGGAACACAGGAGTGATGCATTCCATTCTCGTTGGCAAGGACTTGCCTATGCACTCCTGGAACAAAACAGCATCATGCGTGTGATACTGAATGTGGATAAATGTACATCAAAATGTACTGTAATTGTACTATAACGGATGATGACCACAGTACCCTTGTCGCCGGTTTCAAGTGGCTCTCATTGGGATTAAAGCGAATGATGGTGCGATAAACAGAATCCAGGTTCTCGCCTTCTATCACAATCTTTGAACCTCTGTAATCAAAGACAAACAGGGACATATTTGGACTGAAAACAGCACTCAGTGCTGTGGAAGACATCGGATGAATTGGAGAAACGATGAACAACTGTAAGCCGTCACCAGCCAAAATCCAGGCAAAATAAAAAATCCAATCGAATCTTAAAAATACAGCCCCTAATCATATAGGATGAGTCCTTTGCATGTGAAATTGTAACCTTTATAATCAGAAACTACTGAAGAAGAACTTCAACTGAGAGTGAATGTGTATTTCAAACATACACCATGTTTTAATAAGGTTTTTTTTTTTCTTTTATTCATATTTTTTCCCATTGGAGAACATTTCTCCAATTGTATCGGCCTACCTGTCAAAACCACAGTCGGGCAGCACGGCCGTGATCTTTGGATTTTCCCTGTAGTAGAACACCTTTGTGGTGCGGACCGGAGACTTGTCGATGTAAACGCTCAGCGGGACGTCCCTCACCTCGGAGATGGACTGGGACAGGCAGATGATAGACGAAACATTGCCGATGGATTTAGTGACCCTGCGGAGAGACAGAATTGCGACTTACATGCCACAACAGACGAATCTGAGGCAGATCAAAAGACTTCAAGGGCCTGTGCACGTCCAGTGAAATATACAAAGAAGAAATACTTTAGAGCTGAGTCAGTCTTTGCCTTTCTTGGCTAATATTTATATTAACAGTCATTCTAATAAGTCTGATATAATTTGTGTGAACCAAGTCTCATGTACTCAACCACATGATGAAGGGCGACATAAGTAACTGTAATGTAAACGGATATGAAAGGGATTCCTTCACCTTTTTATAGGGCAGGGAAGATCATTAAGAGTCACTCGTCTGCTCTTCCCAGCATCCAAATGAGGCCCAGTCACTGTGATAAGCGTGCCCCCAACACGAGGGCCATAGTTGGGCTGAATTTCGGTGATGTTGGGAATCTAGAGGGAAATATCAGATAATATTAGATGCACGTTTTAAAAAAGCAGGATTTCAGACAAAAATGAATAATCCGCTTGACTGTTTTGACAATAGAACGCTGAAATGCAAAGATTCGTGCAAAGCGTACCACAAACGTGAACCCTGCCATTTCTGCCTTCCCATCGATAGAGTAGCGGCCCTCCACCTTGCCCTCGTGCACTTCTACCGTGACACTTACTGGTTTGGACAGATCGGTGGTACCAGAGCGAATCTTACACACTAAGCTGAGGAACAGAGAAAAAAAAACAATCCCAAATTGTATGCGCCCTGTAAATATCTGTGCACCAGTGATCAACGAGGAACCAAATTTCATGCAAATTTCAACAAGAAAGACAGCTTGTTTCAGAATTTTGTAGAGATAGTTGATGGTCAAGACAACAAGACACATTTTTTCTCTCTTCTGTCACATATATCAAAGACAGGTGGATATTTCTAATAATCAATAGTCACATAAAAAAGGCTCAGTCTCGGCTTCAGAACGGGCTATAGGAGTAAACTCACTGAGTGTTGTTACTTTTGAGTGGAATCACAATGCATGCGGTCTGTCCCAGTCGAACCTGGTGGGTTTTAGAGGTGATGGCAGGTTTTAATGGCGACTGGAACTCCCATCCGCACACCGTCAGCTCCGTCTGACCATCGGGGGGAGCGGTCCGCGGAAAGAACTATATCAATGAAATCCAACATGTAGTATCACCTTTAGAAGTTGCATAAAGGGGAGTTTGAATCTGGAATGTGTCCGTTTTCCTGCTCTGTTGCCGTCATAACTTCTACCATCATCATTAGTATTAATATAATTGCCATTTTTAATCTAGTCTATGTGTTGCTGTGTTGGCTGCCTCTCTCTGCTCCCTCTGTCCTTCTCTCGCCCTCTTTCTCTCTTGCCCTCTCTTTCCCTCACCCCCAAACGGCTGAGGCAGATGGCCGCCCACCCTGAGCCATGGTTCTGCTCGAGGTTTCTGCCTGTTAAAAGGAAGTTTTTCCTTGCCTGTGTCGCCTAGTGCTTGCTCATGGTGGGAATTGTTGGGTTTCTGTAATTAACTTTAGAGTAGGGTCTGACCTGCTCTGTTTGGAAAGCGCTGTGAGACAACTGTTGTTGTGATGTGGCGCTATATAAATAAAATTGAATTGAATTGAATTGAATGTGAGACCAGTCCTCACCCCGGTGATGCCGGGCCAGCAGGACTCATTTCTCCAGCGACTCTGGCACTCGCTCTCCCACGAGCACACTCCTGAGCACCAGCCGCAGCCCATGAACTTTGGGGCGGTCAGGCACATGGCACAGGTCATGAAGTGCTGACAGCCCGGCCCTCTCTGAGGAACCTGAATCATCTAGACAACGGCTTTATGTTAGCATTATTTCTCACTTAGCAGGATTTATCATGGGATCTACCAGAGAAGCATTACAGATTATCATTTCAAAGAGAAATTCAGTTTTTTTCTTCATTTTGAGGCAGATAATAGAACCTTCTATAGGACACTATTCCTATGAGACATCAGTTATAAATGTATAAACCTGCTGAGTTCTACTGGACTCTCCGAAGTGACCATCCAGTGATCCAGCATCAAACTGACCCAACATTACTATGGTCTATAACAAATCAGGTTATAAACTTTATAGGCATTTATGGTCAAGAAAATCAACTTAGAAAAAAAAATAGTATAATACAAAAGGAATGCAAAAGTACCTTGTCTCCGACCACAAAAAGAAGATACTCTGAAGAGTACACAGCAGCAATGGAGGACACCCTCTGATTCTCCACCAGTGAGTAATTGGCAAAGATTACAGGACTTGATCTTGTCAGCACAAGCTGCCGAAACACAACACGACGACAATGAGAACCAGATCCCCATTAGAAATTCTCCAATGAAATGAACGAACGCAAACAAACAAACAAAAGAACTACTGAGGGCACAGTTTGGTACCTGAAGCAGGCGTCCGGTGGAGGTGCCGATGTGGGCGACGGTCTTGTTCTCGATAGTGGTGACCAGGAGGGAGGTGAGCAGGACGTCTGTCATCTGCCGGTTGAAGAGGTCCACTCTGTAGTAGGGCTTGGACACCATTGTGGGATGGTCTCTGCAGGTGGCGTTGTTCTCCATGCTCTGATGCGAATACCACCAGTGGGAGGAGACACAGTTAGAGAGAGAAAACAGTTAAGCACAAAGAAAAAAGTCCCTGTGTTACTATCAAGTTTGCACTATTAAGAGGGTTAGCAACAGAATCCGCAGACGGTGGCTCAGCTTTCATCAGCAGCAGAGGGCTTCAAAATTCTGGATGATTTTTTTGTTTTTAATACAGCAAGTAGGCCGTGAATTGCATCTGTTTTTAGTGATCTTCAATACTTAAATTATGACTCAACGTGAGTCAAACTGAGTTTCATGACTACTGATCAAAAAAACTGCATCTGCTGCTAAATACTGTGTGATAAGTTTTATAGACCTGTACGTGTTATATTCAAGGGTTACAAGTGTACAATGTACACCATTAACATGTAAACTATGCTTAAAAAACAAGACGGTTCATTTATAGGAAGCATGTAAATCTATGAAAACTATCATTTTATATACCGGGGTTTATTTTACTGTCTCCTAAGAATCACACCATATGATCTGATCTTTGGAAATATCAGATATTTTAAAAAGTCTCTGATGATTTCCTTTGAGGATAGGCGTGCTGGTCACCAGGCAACTGTGTGACCAGACACACGAGGGGAATCTGTTATGATAATATGATTGTTTCCAATTTTAAGAGATGACGAATGATTATATGATGCAAAACTGACAGGGGTGTCGCTTTATTGCTGAAAACGTGCTTAGGGGCGAATCCCGCCTTCATGAAAGGAAAATATCTTATATGGAAATATGAGTTGCCTAAATAAAACCACCAGCAGTATTAAGAAGTATGATGACACAAAAGTAAACTTGATTCAAATTAAAGATCAATTTATTGTGATTCCTGATTCAAGATCTTTCTTTGCAGACCCTTGGAGTTTGTATATACAAGAAACAACATTTTGAATCCTTTATGATCAGTTATATTAATATTTATTGGAACAGTAAAAACAATATTAATTGTTTCTGTTTTATACTTTATCAGTAGACGTTCTGTCTATTGGTCTGTTTCTTTCCTTAAACCTGCAGCCAAGTTCAACAAGGGATAGCGGGAGTGTTTTTCTTTTTCTTTTTGTTACAGAAATCCTGCTATGTTCTTTGTTTGGTGAACCAAAAGAACATAGCTTTCATTTATAAAAGATATTTTAAAATAACATATTGGTTTCCTTGTTATAAAAGCACATGAAAGGAAACGTGGGAAATGAGCATCTTTATGATTTTTTATCATTTTCTGCCTCCCTTATTACTTTTACAAGTTTAATAGATAACATAATCTTTTAATTCATCTTCAAAAATAAGGCCTCAATAAGCATAAAATGAAAAAAGAATTCTGGTTTTTACCTTATTCAAGTGGATAAACTGTGCCATAAGCACAGCATCTGGGCCTTAAATACTGCAAGGCACCTTACGGTCTTGGAAAAGGAAAATTAAACATCCCACATGAACTATGGTAAATATTGTCCCTCAGTAACGTTTTGTGTTTCTGATTTTGTTTTTACAGATTGCAGCCTCTGCTTGCGTATCTTCCCCAGTCGCCTGCTGTCAAAGAGATTGTGGTTTGGTTTTAATTTTACTTATATTTTTGGTATTATCATCCAAGTATTAGGTATTTTTGTTCACCAAGAGACTTTTATTTCATAATAGGACATATGAAATATGTCTGCTGGACAGTGCCAGGAGACTCAGGAGGACTTGGTCAATTTAATGTGAGGAGTATAACTCCTAATGTCGCTATGATCATTAGATGAGGAGACATTAGGTAGTATTTTATGAAGCTTAATGTTTCATCTGAATATACTTAATTATCAAAAAACACATATCCAAATATGTTATCATTTTTAAACCTCACAAAATGAATACACTATAATAACATAACAGAAACTGCAAACTAACTCCTGGGAATTGTCACAAATTCTCAGACTGGCAGCTATTTACGCATAGTAAACAGGGAATAGAAAGTCTCACCACAACCACCAAGCAGTGAATACCTTACATGAAAAATTTATTCTATGGGAAATATGTATGAGATGTGGACGTAAACAGAGCCTCTGGCTGCTTTCCTATGAGAATTAGCACTAAACACCACATGCTAGCATATTCTGAGACACTGAATGTGCTCACATTGTGGAGGAATGCAGCCAGCGTGTTTTGGTTTAGTTTTTTAAAGGACCCTTTCCCATCTGTCCTGGGAAATTCACTCAGCGAATGCCGGAAACACCCATCACTCCATCTTGGCTTGTGTTACATTCTCATTCCACATGTTCATCCAAAAAGAAATTTAAAGTTCTGTTTTCTTCCATTCTTTTGACATCTGGAATTACAACTGATTTAAATGTACCGGCACATTTTCCTAAAAGTCTCCTGATTATTGGCAGGTCGTGTAGATTATCTGCTGCATAATAGGAAGCAGAAGCAGTGCATAGAGTCCATTTCAGAATAGGGACAAACTGTATGTTTGGATGAACTTAGACTCAGCTATATATAGAAAGTGAATATATAGATATATATAAACCCTAACTCTACCCCATTTGTGACCTTTTCATGTTCATCAACCATCGTCTTCTTTCAGAAAGGCATCACTAACATGACAAGCTTTAATTTTCTGAGCAAAGGAAGCCTTCAAAAACTTGATGGGTTTGTGTTTGATTCATCTTTCATTTCTCAGCCACTGAAGGATCTAAATGTATGAAAATGGAACTTTAAGTGAGGTAAGATAGTAATGAATAATCTGCATAGACCCTGGACCAGTTGCCTTTCCACCGCAAAGCCCCACAGAGAGAATCAACCTAATTTAGAGATGTGTCAGGCTTTTTCTCCTTTTTGTGGCTTGTGAGAGCAAAGTAGAGATCAGCCACTGAGCAAAACAGATTTGCTGTCAAAGTTGGACATTTATTTTATTCATAAATGAAGACGTAGCAATTACGTGTAATTTCACAAAGCATCTTTTAAAAGCTCTGAAACATAATCAAATATACATTGGATTATTATTTTGAATCACTAATTTAAGATGCAAACGTTGATCAGTGGACAAAACAAAACCAATTCTCTTACAAGCACTAAGCACATTGTAATAATTAGATATTTTGTTCTTGGCTTTACAGTTTAAGCTGTAAATAAATAAATTAACCCAAAAGACTATTTCTACACACGCTGCTTGGTCAATCCCAGCTAACTTTAGTAACGTGGCGTTGCAACACACCTGAGGGATCTTTGGATACAAACTAATTATTTCGAGGTTGCCAAAGCACAAGCCTTCTTATATCCCAAACTATTTCATACAGGTCTTCATAGTGTGTTTCCGTCAGCCTCTACTTTACAAACAGTTGGTTCTTTATAGTTCAACAAAAGGTTGCAGTTCCCTACGGATTTCGGCCAGCCACTTACAAATTCCAGTGTTCAGATATCAGATGTTAAAGGAGATTTTTATCAAGATAAGTGCACACTCACATTCCATGAGAGTAATACCTAGCTTTATATAAATGAGGTACGCGAAGGGAATTGTGTGTTTGTGGACACCTCACCTCATGTGGGCAGCTTTCACAGGGCTGGAAATGGCAGAGCCCCCTGGACAGCTGCTCTGGTCCGGACTCACAGCAATCGTCCACCCCGTCCACGATCGCCTTATTCACGTTGTCCATGGGGAAGGCGCAGAGGGCCGAGTCGTTCTCCGTGACCCCGTTGTCGTTGGTGACGGCGAACACCCCGTACAGGATGTCATCCTCCTCCTCGGCCCCCAGCTCCTCGGCCAGCTCCCGGCCTGCCTTGCCGAAATAGGCGGCCTGGACCACGTTGTACACGACGTCCTTGTAGGGCTCGCTCGGTAGGTTCCTCCTCCTTCGTTTGGGTTCGAATCGACACTCCAGGATCAGCTCCCGGTACCTCTTCATCTCCCACTCGCTCCGCGGGAGACGGCCCAGGCGGGTCTGAAAAGGCGACGAGTCTTGATCCGGGCTCTCTCTCTGCACGGAGAGGAAGTAGACGAACTCCCGAGTATGGAAGCTGTAGACGTACTCGATGTGGTACGAGTTCCACAGGCTGGGCAGCACGGTCAGCCCTCGAACGTCCCGGTAAAAGCCGTCCTCGGTGGCCAGCGGCCTGCGAACCGATACCGACTTCCGTCCGTAACGCTGAGTCACGCTCTCGTTGACCGAGGCGGCAACAAAGAAGTAAACGGTCTGACCTTCCTCCACCATGGAGACTTTGGTACCGAGGGGGCTGGCCACACAATCGGGACAGTAAGCGGCGGAGTTGGAACTTCTTCTGAACAAGCACTTGGACAGGGAAGGCGGCTCTCCGTTGGAGTTCAGCTCGTGGAAGTAGCACACACCGTACTGAGAGCTTCCGCAAGAGTATAAATACATGAAGAGAGTGTCCAACACCAGGACCTGGTTGTTTGTGTCCTCTAAAAAATTGTAATCCTTGTCCGTGTCGCACAAATCACATATCTGACACTCCGGGCTCCCGACGGGCCCAGTGCGCAGCTCCCAGGCCTTCTCCAGACTCCTGTTGACGGCCTCTATGACATTCCGAGAGGCCACGTACACCTCTTGGTAAAAGGAGTTGTTGACGATGTTCTGTATGGGTCCCTTGGCCTGGAAAAAGGGCATGGTGTACGCCACGGAGAAGTTGACGGGGCTGGGCGCCAGAGAGGGACAGCCGGCCGAGGCGAGCGCCAGCAGGGTCTGGAGCCAAACGCAGGTCCCCCACCGCGTGGTCCGGTGGACCATCTCCACCGAGGGGCCGGGAAGGAGCAACAGCACGGACCAGGCCGGGTTACCTCCAGGTCTGATGCGGAAACCAAAACATCCTTGACACCAGCCAATGAGAACTGTACAAAGGAGACAGGACACGATAAGTACTTGAGTCTTTCGGATGCATGTAGATGTTTGGGTTGTTTTTTGTTTTGGGTTTTGGGTTTTTTTGTTGTTTTTTATCTGACTTTTGCTATTTTGGTAAAAACAATGTCGCAAAAAATTATTTGTGTAGTAAGAATAGAGCACTGAACAGTTCTAGTTTTGCAATAATAGGTAATAATAGCTATGCCGCCTTTATACTTGTTACTTTGTTTTTTTTTCTAGTTGGGGTACCGGCTTCGTCGTGTAGTGAATGGTCAGCACTCACGAACACAATCCCTTTGTGGTTCCTCTGCTGTGACAGGCCATGTATCGGCTCATTCTGTTACTTCTGGTTCGAAGCCAGGGACGGGCAGGAGCTCACAAAGACCACTTAGGTCTCCTACTGGACTATATACATGCAGGAGTCATTTGACACTCCTGTCTGTGAGGTAGTTAATCCAGCTCTCAATTTCCGTTTGACTAACAGGTTTACATGCTTTCAAAAATGTACTTTAGGTAGACCATCTTTTTTTCTTTCTTTTTTTGTCCAGTGTGACACTGAAGTACAGCAACTTTTCCAGCATTTCAAAGGTTACGCAATAACATGTTTATGTTGTGACTTCCCGACTTTTGAGGGTTGGAGAGCTTTTCCTAAAAACTAAAAACAGAGTGGAAAAACTAGTTAGTTTGCTTTGGCTTTGCCTTATTTAGCTAAATCTAACTTAAAAATCAACCACCATCTTGCTGTTGTATCACACTGAATAGAAAGACACAAGCTAAGTCACTTTTCTCAAATGTTATCATTTTAATAATGTACTACACTGATTGCCGATAGATCCCAGACAATAGCCGTTACCATCTCGGTTGAGACCGATGATAAAAGCTTGTGGTCATAGAGATGAAAATTTCCTCTGACTCACCGCAATTACTAAGAAGAAATGTTTGTGTTATCACACAGCTGTGAAGTGGATAGCAAACCCAGATTAGCCACTTTTTATTGTGATAGTAATAAACAGTAATTCACAGCCGGTCATGTTCTGTTCAGCTGAATCAAGACAAGAAATCCCCTAACGAGTCGTGTTCTTTGAGAGCAGCCTGAAACAAGCAAAGTCAAGCACCTTTGCTGAACGTAAATCAGCCAAATTTAGCAAACCTAAATGTTTCCACCGCACATCCCCATCAATCTTTGCACTGAGCCCGGACTCCATCCTGAACAGGTTGTTTGGTGGATCATTAACCAGACACATTACAGTAAGGCTGTATTCAGGCACACCTGCCGCTCTACTTTGCATTCCTGTCACAACCACTACGTGCCTCTCAAGGGGGAAAGATGTGCATGGACGGATGGCCAGAAGACAGCATGTACCTTTTCAAAAAAGAAAATTCCAAAGTTAAAAAGAAACCACTTTTCTGTTCATGTCGGAAAATGTAAACCCCTCAGATTTTTTAGTTTAAAGTAAAGAAACTCCATTTAGACCAAATAAACTTTGATAATATTTTTTTCTTAACTGTTCTGTTTTTAAGGGGAAGCATTCATATTGAAAACGTCGATGCAAAAAACAAAATCTAATGCCTTCACATCAATAATTCATAGGATGTCACTATTTTCGTGTTACATTTTAACACTCGGCTCCATGTGAAACGGAGGTTAAAGTTTGAGGACATGGGTTTACATAGAAATGGGACTGATTTACTATCCCCATGTTCATGGTTAATAAAATATGGCTGAAAAAGAGTTTCCGACGATATTGCTATTTCTGAGTGAGCGTGCATCCCTTTATCCCCTCCCTAAAGACAACAATGGCCTGTGTTTGTAAGCTCACTATCGATCGGTGGTTAATTAGAGCATAGGAAGAGATTGAGGAAGTATTTCCAGGGGCATTTGTGACCTGAGGTGACACTGATTCCCAGGAAAGGAACCTCTCCAGCTCCAAAGTGAAGTACCACCAAAACCATCAGACACACCTGTTCTCACATCAGATTTCAGATTTAAAGCTGATTGATGAACACAGCATGGTTCATAATGCAAACCACTTCTGTCTAATGATCTATGATCTTGTTGAAGTGTTTGTGAGTTGTTTATTTTTTTGTTTTTGTCTTTATTTCATACTTCTGCCATTGTCTGTGAAGCCATGCCTTTTAGAACTGGCTTCACACCACAGGTAAACTTCTGCACCAGCTAAAAAGTTAAGTCAGGACACTGTACAGACAAATCCTGTTCCACGGGTAAACTGTAGTCACACCATCACATCATTTATGGAAAATGAAAGTAGTCATTTTCCATATTAATAACCATTCAATGAACCCGGATCATTCTTCCGTGTGCATCTTAGCAGTTTGGTTGTCTTTAAGAAGCATTACTGTACAACATCTCTGACAAATGATCATGGCAAGTTCTTTTCTGTTTGAAACGATCTCTGGTAAAGGATGTCGCGGATTCGAAAACTTACCTGTGCAACCTCCAGCTTTTCTTTTTTCTTTCTTTCTTTTTTCGCTCCTTGTCTCAGTGAGGAACAGCGCAGAAACGAAGGATCTGCTGGATCTCGTCTTTAGTCAGGGAATAGACTGTTAGGGCTGGCTTTTTTGCTCTCCTGCTGAGCAGTGAGGGGGGCTGGAAGTCTCCACAAAAAAAAGTGTCGGGCTCACTTAGAGCTGAAGGTTTCGGTCTCAGCGTGCGTCTGGAGCCTCAGCTGCGCTCCGGCTCGCTCCTCCCCTCTGCGCTCCCAAAAACGCATCCAGTCCCACCTTCCATCAATGCTGTAGCCCAATGCCCAGTATCAACATGATCCGAGAGGACCAACCCTCTTATCCAGGGCTATCCTGATGGATGACACAGAGTCTGATTGGTCTTTGGGGGGAGTCGTTTATTTTTTTCTATATCACAACTTTGCTACTGTGCAGCTGCCTTGAAATCTCCATTCCAAGTTTTGCACAACATGTTAGTTAAGGCATTATTAGTGGAGGCAGATGTGCTAAGGTGTGATTGCTCAAGCAAAACAAAACATTCAGAAACACACAACGGACCTTTGTGATTAGGCCCCGGGCGACGAAACACTTCCCACAATCGCCGACGAACGAGAAATCGGACGCAATCAGGGATCAAGAGGCATCATTCCGCTTGGTTTGCGGTGGAATTGACAATACGTGTCAACACAGGTTACTGACAGGGCCTGGGCAGCTTCCAGCCTCTCTCTGCTGGAGTGTGGTTGTCCTGGCGGAGGTACAGGCTGAGGAGGAGTTGATGTTTCGTGGAATCGTAAGAACGAGGGCAGGAATGTGCTTAACAGGTTTCCCCGGCATGTCCCACAGCGAGTGAGCGGGCTGTGGTGCAGCTCCCGGGCTTCCAGCATTTCAAATCTCATTTTATTTTACATGTTTAAGAACCGAGCTCAAAGCATTAAAACAAAAAAGACAAAAAGCAATTCAGAACATTACAGTAAAACAGCTTTTCACCTGCTCAACTTTTTTGTCTCCTCACTGGTGCTGATGGGGCCTCCATCCGTTGTTAGTCAGGATAAAAGTCATAAAAAAAACACAGCCGGCTAAAATGCTGCATTAAGTCACAGCCGTTGCGCGCCTGCTAAATCGAGGACTTTAATGTGGAATTGCATGGCTCAGCAGGGGCTCAGTATGTGAGAGGACTCAGGATGAAGAGGCGGTCTTCCTCCTTCCTGATCCACTTCAGCAGTTTGTTGACGGCCGACACGGCCAGGGCCTTTGTGGCCAGCGGGCTGAAGCAGAGGTAGAGCTCAAAGCCGCTGGTCACCTGAGAGAGGGAGAGAGAGAGGAGGCAAAGAGAGGACGCTCGCTGTGAGGAGGCTGCTTTAAACCCAAACCCCCTCAGTGTACCCAGAACCAAAGAACATTCGGTCCAAAAAACAAACCAACAAAAGCTCCATTGATCTGCTGACAGTAGCTGTACGTTTATGGTTTTTCCTTTTTACTGTTGATGATTTTCATTGTGTCTTACAACCCGTCTCTTTAATTCATGGTTGTGTTGCATAATCTAATTAAATATGTTAATGTTCTCCATTTGATACCTGACAAGAAATTAATAACCTCACAGCAGCCTGTTTATCCCAGACATGTTATCTATCAGAAATCCAAACCCAAGTGAAAACCTTTTCTTTATCTTATATCTACCTCGCTGTTTAAACCATCCTCTGTCATCTCAGTTTGGTTTCAGATTCCCTTTACAAACTAGTTCTCTCTATCAATGCTTTGCACTACTTTTTCAAATTGTATGCTAGTTTTTCTTGTAGGTTCTCATCTTTTTTTTAAAACAGTTGCCCCATATGCAGTAAAGTCATATCGAAAGTATTAACCGCATCCCATAATTTCACACATAACCCAAATCAGATCCCTTCATTGAGGTCCAAATACAAATTTGTGCAGATTCCAATGATAAATTCAACCCATCACTGTGTCTGAATAATCCAGCTCTGTGTTGTGTTGTGTTGTGTTGTGCAGACTGAAGATTTCTATGCGTTTCGAGGATGAGGGAGCCATTGGAGAGGATGGTCACAAACGTCCAGCTTACCCAAGCCAGCAGGTTTTCGGTTTCGCTGCAGCGGTAGAAGGAGCGCAGAGGTCGGGTCGGGTGGTGCAAACAGCTGTGGAGGTCCTGGTACAAACCCATCAGCCTCTCCTGCTCCTCCTCAGACTGGTACACCATCGGAAATTCTGGGCTTGGGTGAGCAAAAACAAGCAAATAATGATTTGTGATGAAAAGAATCAACAGAAAAGTAGTAAAAACATGTCTATCGGAGGTATCTTGAATGTATCATCTCCTCTGAGCCCGCAGCTCAGCATTTCATTGACCGTTTAACATTTTACAGCGTGGAACCACTCACCTGGTGTACAGCCCGGAGCTCTTGGACTTGTACAGGAAGTGCCGGAGCTCGGGGATGCCCACCTGGTCCACGGGGTAGCAGGGCGCTTTGAGCGCCTCCTTCAGGGCGGGCCAGGCGCTGCGGCGGCCCAGCCGCTCCATGAAGCGCCGCTTGCAGTCGGACATGTTAAAAAAGTCCTCCCGGTCGGTGGAGACCAGGATGAGGCAGAGCTGCGAGCCGGGCTCCAGGTAGGAGATGTGCGCGTGGAAGAAGCCGGCCGTGTTGAACTTGGGCAGGCAGATGGGCGTCCAGCCCTCGCCCTCGCGGAAGGACGAGGACGAGCCCACCAGGTTAAAGAGCAGGTGCAGGTCTATGTGGTGCAGGAACTGGTCCTTCTTGCGCACCAGCGTGACCAGGCGCTCGCCGGCCAGCAGGATGGAGAACACCAGGCTCTTGGACTTGGCCGCCTGCAGGCTGGACGACACGGCGTCCCGGGCCGAGCTGGCCAGAGGCAGGCAGGTGACGGCGCTGAGCAGCAGGCCCGGGTCCCGCTCCAGCCGGCGCAGGAGGCTGTCGGTCAGGTACTCGGAGCCGGCCAGCAGCCGGCGCAGGTCGTAGTTCTGCTTGTGCTGGAAGATGTGGTTGAGCTGGGTGAGCGTGAGCAGGCTGACGATCTGGTAGTAGATGTACTGCAGCTCCCGCTGCAGCTCCTTGTCCGACTGGCAGGTCCGAGACACGCCCACCAGCACCAGGGGGCTCTTGGTGAGGAAAACCACTTTGCAGCCGTCTGACACAAGCAGATGGTGGTTTGATTTTTTTGTTCATGTTGGCATGCTACATTTATTGTGTGGATTTCGAAAACGTATGCTGACCTGCGTGTATGGAGCGGATGATGTTTTTGCCCGCCTCCACGAAGGACACCAGGGCCATCATCACGCCCATGGTGCTGGACAGCGCCTCCTCCGTGCCGTAGCGGCTGTAGATGGGCTTCCCGGCCTCGCTCAGCACAAACACGTGCTTCCGGTGGCTCCGCCAGGCCTCGCTGGACACGTCCTCCTCCTTGGTCCGGCTCTCGCTGCTGTGCTGCTCCTCCAGGCTTTTCTCCCCGACCAGGACCTTGAACTCCTCTTCGTCGGGGCTTCCCGACGGGTCCGGGCCGGCCTCGCTCTGGGCCTCTCCTTCAGGCTCAGCGGTCAGATCTTCGAAGGACTGAGCATGGACAAACATAGCACTCCTCTGACCAGCACCTGGAAGAGAGGATTGGCTACAGCATGACAACTATTTAGCAACAGCAGACACAAATATTCCAAAACAAAGAGAAAACATCATCAACACTCCTATCATTTAATTTTTCTATCAATATTCTCTGAGAGTGGTGGCGTGGAAAACCAAATATCCATTTGTCGGGCCACTTAGTCCTCTCCCTTAAGCTCCTTCTCAAAAACGCAGCGATACATCGACTTTGGCCGACAAGTATCCTTAAATAATGAATTTTCTCCGCGTGTCTGCTGACATCAAACTGCTTCCATAAACGCTGTAATGGATCCGGTGAGCACCGTCTCCAGTGCAGTGTCAGAGGTTTAAAAACGAGAGCTGATGAGGTCACGGTTTATGAAAAAAATATTTTTAAAAAAGGATGTTAGACATTGTCTATAGTGTGCGATTCCAATTTTAGGATTGTATTTAAAAAGGGGTTCGATTTAATCTAATAATGGGCTCTGACTAGAAAAAAGGCACGGTTCTTATTTGGATGAACACTTTTCAAAGTCGCTACACTACAGGAGGGGAAAAAACCTCTGCTTACAGAGATATCTGAGCAGTAAATAGTCACTTAGATGTGCAAAATTCACCAAATCCATACCATGCTGCTTCATTCAGATGGAATGTGGCGTGACAAACGTACTTACCCTGTCAGCACCCTTGTCATTTCTATGGAAAATTTCAGTGAGGCTACATGTAAACAGAGCATACAATTCTCCTAAAAGTTTAGTCTGTGTAAATATGTGTACTCTGGTCTGCCTGTTGGTTTCCACACACTGGTAGGTGGTGATGTCTGCTTGTGCTGGAAGATGTGGTTTAGCTGGGTGTTTCTTTACATTCGCGACTCCATTAGGACCTGAAAGTTGTTTTGGTTAGATATTGCCTCAAAACCGCTAGTCGGCCGGAGGTTAGAGCTGTGGCTTTTTTCACGCGGAGGGGAAATCACAGACACGCTCTGTTTCAGGAACATTTTTACGTATCCACCGCTAAGCAGTAGATCATAGCTCATCCATGGGAAGATGAGTCATACACCTAATTTGAAGAGCTTCGGTGACTTCTGTCAATGTTGAACTCATTATCTGTATTCATTTGTAAAATGGAAGCCTTGTGACATCCGGACTGCCTCATTCCAGTGTAGGGGGAGAGTGTTAGTGGAGTGGATGATCACATGCAACACACGTGTTGTATGTCGGAATCGTAGGTGATGGGAGGGGGTCATAGGTCAGCTCACCTGGCTCAGTTCCCTCCACCAGACCGGGAGTGGGGCTGTCCGCCCTCTCCGTGCGGAGCCGGTCCAAAGGGGCCAGGGTCCCGTTTTCCGGGCACACCGTCGTCGCCCTTTGGGCCTCTCCATCCATCACTACGACTTATTGCAGGGACACACACCTGGCAGGGCAAACACACTTGAGAAAAAAAAAGGGAGGGAGCAAAGGTCGACAGAGTTGCGACTGAGGCCAGGACTTAAGATCGTGCTTTTTTATGGTGCAAGATTTTTATGAAACTGGCCGGTTCTTAAACAGATCTACTCATAAAAGGAGCACATTTTTTTTGCTCCAAGTGTTGGCTAATGTAAAGCAAAGCAAATTAACATATTCTACCACAAAGCTCTTGGTCTTTTGAAAGTGCATTTACTTACTCTCAATTCAAACAAAAGTTTGTTTCTAGTTCAAAATTCGTCGACCTATAAGAGGCGTCATTTTGGACAGGGCAGAACTCCAAAGGCTACTATAATTGCTAACTTTCGCAGATAATTATCGCTATGTCAAGCTAAATGTGTCCGGTTTAGCCAACTTCATTTGGACAAACAAATTCAGAGACAAGTTAAACTACTTCCAAAACCATTACCTTTCATTTCCGCAGCTATGTGCTTTTGATAAGGCAACTCGTCTGTGACAGTTACAGCAGCTAGCTAAACCCAACAGAAGTACTTCTTCCTCAAGCTTGCCCTGGCAGGACCCGGAACTGGGAATTGTGGGATATGAAGTCTTTTCCCAAAGGGAAACTGTCCATTGAAACCAAGCTCAGTTTGAAAACCCAAACATAAACATATGTTAGATATATTTTTTAATATATTTACATATATTTTTTATATATAGACCTTTACCAAACAAATTAATATTCCGCGTGGACTTCGATTACAAAAGTGTTTATTACGACAAGGGAGACCTGAACGCACCGTGAGGGGGCGGGGCTTACGTTTGAACCTACAGCGCGGAAACATAGCAAACATGAAGCTAGCATCGTGCATGGAGTAGTTAGTCGGGCTTTGTGTTACAGCTTCATCTTAACACCCGAAACGTCACAGACAATATTATGGATGCTTAATGTTTTGACGAAGTATTGTGCATTGACTTAACATATTCGTTCGGTAAGTATGTGGGCTGTTTACGAGGCTAACAGCTAACTAAAAAGAGCAGCGTTGTTAACATGGTTGTTGTCAGACAGTGTTATGAAACATGTCGTTTCAAAAGATTTATCATTGCGAATTTGTGGCAGAATATAACTATATTATGTTATTTTTTTTCACTAATGCAAACTTTTTTAATCATTGGGGAAGACTTGACGCATCAACATGCCTATACGAGCCTATTGCACCATTTGCTCGGATTTCTTTGACCACTCCAGAGATGTTGCTGCCATTCACTGCGGGCATACCTTCCACTACGAATGGTAACTAAATTCTGAACAACATTCCTAATAGTTCTGGCTCATTTCTAGTGTTTTTGACGCTGTCGTCCCCCCCCCCCCCCCCCCCCCCCAGCCTTCTCCAGTGGTTCCAGACCCCCCCTCCAAAAACCTGTCCACAGTGTAGGAAACAGGTACACTCATTTCAAGTTTCAAACACCAGCAAACAACCAGTTTGCGTTCCTAACAGGATAATTGTTTTATAAACATGTAGGTCAGCACCAGGCACATTATCAGCAAGCTGTTCTTTGACATTGGCGGAGAGGAGAGCACGGCTGACCCCGAAAGTCTGCAGGTACCAGACCTTCAGCAACTGCTACTCATCTCATCTCCAACTATTGCATTGTATTTGCCTAAAGCATCACATTTTATATTTATGTTTGGACTGTCCTCTTCCTTTCCTCAGAATGAGCTTGATCGCATGAGGGCACTTCTAAGCTCCAAAGGTAACAGAATCAAACCGTGCTGTGGGTTGTGCGTGACCATCTGGCTGACATCTGGTCATCTTTCCAAATTCTAGAGCGAGACTGGCGAGACAAACAGAAGGCGGTGGACAGCTTAAAGGACACCGTGGACAAACAGAGGAGAGACCTGGACAGCGCCCGGAAAGACGTCATGGAAAAGGAGATGCTCTGTTCTGCGCTCAGAGTACGACCTCTCCTCGTTTTGTTTCGTTGTTTCTAACAACGATACAAACGTGATGTAATGTGATTTGTTGTCTTGTCCTGACGCAGAAACAGATGACGTATTTCGAGACGCAGCAGAACGAGGTTCAGGTTGCAAAAGAGGAGGTCCGGAGGCTAAGGATTAAAATGAAAACCTTTGAAAGGTAAAGCAAATATGATGCTGTGTATTCAGACCCAAATGAGAAAGCTCATACAAGTGAATTTTGTGTATGAAGCTGTTAAGCTACAAAAACAACATTGACTACTTGTGCAGTGATTATGGATTTATTTTTTTTCCCCAGCATGGACGTGTTGTTGCAGGGCCAGAGAGCAGAGGTGGAGTCGATGGTCACAGATATGGGTGTCAGTCACACAGCAGTGGAGCAGCTCTCCATCTACTGCATCTCTCTAAAGAAGTAAGAGCCCCAGTGGTCAAGCTTCATCAATTCATTTCCTGTGTGCTTGTGGAAAGTGTTTGTTTGTGTGTGATTTGGTTAGGTTTTTTTTTCCAATCTCTTCTGATCTGCCTTAGCTCTTCTGAGTACCTCAATCCAAACACAATCCTCACTTTAGACAGTGTTCCCTAAATGTGGTTACTGCTTTCAGTAGCGTCACGGGGCCCTAAACATGGCAGAAAAAAGCTTTAGATCAGTTTAACTTAAAGAGCTTTAAGGTTTCGAGACTCGTAGCTAAAAGGTATCAGATGGTTATCAATTTTTATAAATTCATATCATATGAATTTCTGGAATTTTCTTTGGGATTCTATCCCTCACTGTTAGAATGTACATATGATTAAAATTTTAGATGGTTGCATTCTTTGTAAGTGGGCAAACCTGCAAAATCAGCAAGGGGTCAAATACTTATTTCCCCCACTGTATATCCTCAAATGCAATTCTCATTCAGATGTGTATTATTTTGGTTATTCTTCTTGCCCGTGTAATCCTTACTGATTTTTCCTTTTGCAGAGAGTATGACAATATCAAAGGTAGCCTCAAGAATTCCAATGAAATGTGTGAAAAGCTGAAGAGAGAAGTGATCTGCTCAAACAATAAGGTAGCCAGATGTTTAAAAAGCCACCCGAAAGAATTTACTCTTGAACAGCAATTTTTTTTTTTTTAGCCACATTGCAAAAATGTTTTGTGTGATTTTAGTTGCATAAAGCCACGATAGAGGTGAATCGGACCAAAGAGGACATGATGTCGCTGCAGAAAGACCTGGCCAACGCGGACAAAGAGATCTCGGTGAGGCACACAAGAGAAATGCGTTTTGTTTATTTTTTACCGTTGCTGTCGGAGGATTGCATTGACTTCTGGGCGTTGCCTTCGACACAGAGTCTGAAGAAGAAGGTGGACTTTCTCCAGAAGACTCTGAGCACCCCGACGCGGACGAACGAAGCCCTCAGCAGGCTCGTCTTTGAAAGGTGGGTCCCCCCCATCTCCCCAAACTTGTAGCGAGGCGCCGGGTGATGCTTATTCCCTGGGTTTTGTCTTTCAGCCCCGCCCCGGTGGAGCTGAAGCAGCCCCGCCTCCACCAGCCCGCCGACTGCACGGACATCGACCTCAACATCACCTACGACATCACCACGCCGGACGATGCGGCCAAGAGGCCGGCGCAGGACCAGGCCAAGAAGATGCGTCTCGACCCCGCCGTGTAGGTTTACCCCCTGCCCAAATGTGTCTCCGTCGATGCGCTTTTTCGTTTTGGTCACAATTCATCCACTCTTCTGTACAAAAATGTTTTTGTTTTTTGTGTTTTCTTTCGTTTTTTTCCAGACCATCTATGTCTAAACCGAGTGAGAAATCCTCATCTTTGAGAAAGGTGGGTTCACCACACTCAGGAAGTCACAGGTGTATATTTTGGGAACATTAGCGTGCTTATGTTTAACTTTTCTGTGTGAATCCACATCCCCAGCTGGCTCGGGATGAAGACCCGGCCACGGATCCTTTCCTGAGGAACTCCTTCCTCTTTAGAAAGAAGACTTTTGGCAGCATGTTGGACCCCCAGAGGAAGCCCGGAGTTGTGAGTACCACGCAAACACCCGTAAAAAGCTGCGTCTGCACGGGCCGTTTCTAAGCCTGGGTTTGGTTTCAGGTCAGAACGGGTTACGATGGATTTGGAGGAAGAACCAAATTCATCCAGCCTGTATCCTTTGCTGCACGATGTGTTACAATATGTTAGTTTTCTCAGCAAGAGAAGAGTTTCACATAAAATATCAACACCTTTAACAACAATTTGACCACGAAAATTAGTCTACTGGTAAATTAATTGTATGAGATATAAGCACCTTTATGCTTTTACACTGTTGTAGATTTATACTTGAGTTTAGTTCAAAGCCATCCATTATTTTACAGCTCTTTCCACAATATAAAGAAAGTTAGCACCCAATCCTTTGCTTCATTCCTTAACCAAGCCCTCTCCTCCAGTCCCCTTTATCGGAGATTCGCCCGCTGATGAAAGCCAAGAGGAAAAAGGTGAGCCGTCCCCCCTCCAAGATTTCCACCTGCCTGACTCTGGACGGCTTCCTGGAATGAGTTTTGACGTCGTGGCTTAGAATGCGGCGTGTGACAAAAGAGCGTTTGTGCTGTTCCTGGCTCAAAGAACCCGCCTGGCAGCGGTTCTACGACTCAGCAGCAAACAAGACTCCCGACTGCTCTTTTATTTAAAAGCAGCATCTGGCCTCGCTCCCGACAACAAATGCCGGCTCTCTGGCTCTGTCAGCAGCTGATGTACATCCATTTTTGTGCTGACATGCACATTCCCCCGACCGGCTTCTTATTTGAAGCTTTTTTTTGTAGTTGTGTGAAAGACAAAGCCATTTTTTTTGGAGAGACTTATTCATTTGTTATTAACCTGCATGTAGACACACTGTAGGCATTTTTAGTTTTAAATTGTGTTGCCAGTGTCCGCGCCAGATGAAATAAACTATTTTTATTTAGATCTGCGTGTGCTTCACAAGCTTTTTTTTTTTAGCCTCACAGACGTCACTGAGCCGTGCTCTCCTGCAGAGGGCAGTACAATCATTTTTCTAACAGGAGGACACAAATCCAGAGGAGTTCTCACTGGGAGTAAACATGCAGTGCACGTGGTATCTGCTGAATCCATTTATACTGAAAAGACTGCACCAGCACAGAGAAAAACGGCCAAACCTGCGTAACACACTGCGACTGAGTAACTCATAGTAGCCCTGACGTACAAAAAACAGGCTGTTATTCATTCAATTCATTTCAATATTTACCTTAATGGGAATTTTTTCTTGTAGCAGATCTTTTTTTTAATGGCTCAAAGTTAAATACAGCCTGTGGGTAAAAAAAAAACAACCCTATTTTCTCATGCATAGACATGAAAGTAATCTGATTTTTAAAACAATTTTCTTTTTTTGGAATTCTGCCATACCATCTGACCTTTGCGTGGAATGCAAACAATATGGGGAAATACCAAACATTGTTTTCCACGATAGGGAGGTAAAAGTACCAGGTAGAGGGTAAACATCCTGGTTAGAATCACTCGTTTCCTGTTTGGATGCACTTAAAAACTCCACAATAAAAACCAGCCTGTGTCACTGTAACAATGATGGAAGCGAACTGCTGTGACTGGATCATCCTCAGACTCCAACGGACCCCCATGCAGACAAGGTGGTGTATTTTTGTAGCTACTTTTCTTCCAGTGCCATTTGAAGAAAAACATCACAACACTTTCATAACATTCATGTCTACATATAACACATAATCCATGCAGTGCCTCCAGACTGTGGGCCGTTATGTTTCATCGGCCCAAGGGATTCCACGTGAATGATGTCATTTTCCAGTAGGGCAAAGGTTGCCATATCAGCTTTACGGTTTTTTTCTTTCTTTTCTTTTCAAATAGCATTTTCCAAGGAGACAGAAAATTAGCAACATCCAGCTGAGGTGTATATGTGATCACAAAAACAAAAAAAGGTAAATCTGAAGTCAACATGGCTCAGTATCTTTGCCGTTTGTGCTTGTGTTGGAAAGTTCTCTTCTTCTGTTTTGTGCTTCGATCCAGGCTGAGTAGAGTTATCTAAATAAGCATAAAAAGAAAGATCGTCTTTGCTGGTATTTCAGTCTATAATTAAAGGTTAGAAACTAACAGTTTTGTCCCCAATAAATTAAAAAACAGCCTCTGGCATATCATCAACCGTCTCCATACGCTGTCCTTACTGGGACCTGTCCGGCTCTATCTTGGACTCTCCGTTCTGTTTGTCGTTGGATTTCTGGGACAGGTGCGTGGAGACGGTGGCCGCCTGCGCCACGGCTTTGAAGCTGCGCTTCCTCTTCTGCACGTTCTGCTCCGGGTGGAAGATGATGACGTACACCTTGGGGATGTAGAGCATTCCCAAAGAGACGGTGGCGCTCAGGCTCATGGACACCGTCAGGGTGGTGGTCTGGATGAACATCTGGAACAGAGACACGGGAGGTCAGAAAAAAAAAAAAAGCAATATTGTGGCTGGAAAGGTTCTACAGGACAGGTTCTCTGATTGTTTTCCCCCTAAACATGGACTGATCGTTTTTTTCGAACAGAAGTAAAATAGGCTGCCAACACTTTTCATTTGAAAGCAAAGAGGGCAGTGTTTTTCCCCCGATGAATGATTTATACCCCGGTTTCCCTGCTTTATGTATTCAGGAAAGAAGGTTCTATTTATGGGCTTTCACCATATGTCCTCATTGCTTTATCTCTCTTATTGCAAAATATCACATATTACATTTATGAATTAATAAGCTGCGAACTCGCCATTCAAGAAAAATTGTGCAGGACATTTATGCGCAAAGTCACATGTGCCATAAATAAGACATATTTTCGCCATGAATAAGTCACAAACTGTCGTTTTGCTGCTCTCTGCTACTATCGGCCGCGGAACATCCTGTTATCGCACAGGCTGAAGTTTTTTCTCATCATCTTAAACATGCTTTTTGTCGTCTGTTCTTAGTGGCCTCCCGTTTCAAAAAAGAGGGCACGGTGATTCAGAAGTGAAGCAGACTGTACGTGTGCCCGGGGCGAGTGGGGAGATGGAGGGTGCGTCCATATGTGTTGACAGTGGACAGGCAGGTAAAATGACCTCCTCCCACACGTGGCTCTGCACATGATGGGGCGGATGGCGTCCGCCACTTTTACGAGTGGGTGCAAAAGTTGCATCCTATTTTTAGCCGATTTCCTTACAAAATGCACCGAGCGAGATGGTTGAATTGATCGGCGAAAGGTTCCGAGTGCCCCTCAGCTCGTCTGACCTCATTTCAGCCCCTGCCCGCCAGCCTTTACTTAATTCACTTCATTTCCATTCGGAGGAGGTGAAAAGACTTTTAAAAGCACCTCGGGCCGTAATTGTTTCAGCCTGACTGAGTCATAATGCAGCTCTTTATTAGTCAAAGCTTATCTGTATTTTTGAAATATTCCCTCAACAGTCGTGTACGTCGTGGCGGCAGATAATAGCCCTCGAGCTAAATTAAACTCTCACTACAGTGGAAACAGGATGTCCTGGGAGTGCTGCAGGAAGCAAATCCAATATGACAGGCAGCAAACCCACATTTCACTAGGAAACATCTGAGGGATTCCTTTACTCTCTGGCTATTAGCGTGTCTTATTCTATGTTACATCATTCCACTCACCCCACAATTTAGTGCACTCCTACTTACAGAAAAGACAGTGCTTCTCCAAGATATGAATGAAACATTTGTTTAGTTCTCACAAAGCAGGTGTAAAAGATATTGTGGCAAAATGCAGAGTAAATAATCATGATGCCTCGATATATTAAGTGGGACATCATATATGCTGTTATCTAAATCAAATAGATGCCCAACGATTGTGGGTTTTTTACATCATTTTCTGAAAGCCAATCATTATGTCAAACAAATGTAATGAAAACGAGTAAGGTGCACTCCTATTGAAATGTGCAAAGTGTAGCATTAAGGACAATGAATAAAAAAAAAATTTTAAATCATAATATTCAGAACTATGTTGTCTTGAGTGCGCATCACATTCAAATTGGAATTAAAAGGACTAATCTTAACAGTAGTGGATCAGTCTTTGAACAGCTGACCTCTGAAAGGAAAAGGGTTGGGCTTGTGAAAGGGAAAACTAAAGGTTTCCACCATTGTTTTTAGAAAGGAATCTTCCAAAGGGAAAAGCGGAAATAAGCTGGCGTTGGTTGAAAAGTTACCCATCCGAAAAAGCCCTCTAAATCCCGACAAATCAGCTCATCTCGTAATCGCGTCTGGTTTGAAATTATAAACTTCTCCGATAGCTAGGATTGACCGTGTGGTCTGAAAAAAAACGACTGGTTTCCCTACCTTTTCTGTGGACTGCGCTGTGCCGAAGAAGATAGGCACAAAGGCCAGCCAGACAATGCAGGTGGTGTACATGGTGAACCCGATGGGCTTGGCCTCGTTGAAGGTCTCGGGGACCCCCCTGCTCTTTATGGCGTACACCGTGCAGGTGATCATCAGGACCAGGCTGTAACTCAGACACAAAATGAGGGACAGGTCGGACATGTCGCACTTGAGGATGCCGCGGGCGAACTCCGGGTTGGGGGGCTTCTGCTCTTCGTAGTCGATGATCGTGTGGGGGGGCATGACGCCAAACCAGACGAACACTCCTAGCACCTGTAGAAGAAAAAGGGGCGTCAGATTCCCGAAGAAAACTGGGAAAGAGGGATTCCCACTCTTACCTGCACCGAGATGAGTATGAAGGTGATAATCAGCTGAGAGGTGGGGCTGATGAACTTGGGAGGGGTGACGGATTTCTTGCCCTGTTCGAAGATGCGGTAGATCCGGTTGGTTTTGGTGAGCATGGCGGCGTAGCTTATGCACATGCCCAGCCCCAGCAGCAGCCTGCGGAAGGCGCACACCGCCACGCTGGGCTCGGCGATCATGAGGAAGGTGATGAGGTAGATGAGGAAGATGCCGGTCAGCAGCACGTAGCTGAGCTCCCGGCCGGAGGCCCGCACGATGGGGGTGTCGTTGAAGCGGACGAAGGTGCCGATGACCCCGGTGGTGGCCAGGATGCCCAGGATGGCCAGGAAGACGGGGATGATGGCCCACGGGGAGCTCCACTCCAGCTTGATGATGGGCGTCTCGCGGCAGCCCGTGCGGTTCTTCAGGGGCCTCATGTCGAAGGGGCACATGTCGCACGTGAACTCGTCCAGCTGGTACTGGTAGCCGTCGCAGAGCTCGCAGTGCCAGCAGCAGGGAACGCCCTTCACCATCTTCTTCCTCTCGCCGGGCTCGCAGGGGAAGCTGCACACGGACTCCGGGATTTTACGGTCACCCCCCGACCACTGCATCTCCTCCACCTGGGACGGACGATCAAACGTAGGCATTAGCTTGTTGTGCGATCGCAAGTTCAAACAAAGCACATTACGTAAAAGTAAAAGCTAGGGCATAATGCTGAATTCTAGAAAATTGCCCTCACCTCCCCAAAAACAGATTTGAATGCTATGATTCAACATTTAGCTTTGCATCGCTGCATAATTCAAACAATCAAGACTGAACTTGCAAACAGTTACATTTTCCTAGCCACGCAAGCAACAATGTACCCTGTGTTAAAACCTTGCATAGCAACAGTGAAAGAGTTCTGTAAAGGAAAACTGAATAGATGTACTCTGACTTCCTTGATTCAGGAAGTCGCTCCACCTTCTGGCTTTGAGGTGTTGGTAGAAGAACTATGTTCTTTCTACCAATGGCCAAAGCCAGAATTTAAGCTTCCTGATCTCCAGTCTTCATACCAGTTGAAATCTTACCAACTAACTAAGCAAGAAAGTAAGGAATCTTATTGCTGAGGTTGAAATTTACATTGATTCGCAAGTGGTTTGTCCACTGGCCGATAACCCTGTAGCCGGGGTTGCTGACATTGGACATTTGGTACTGGAAGATGTCGTACCGACCAGGAGCGTCTCCATTCTCGTTGAACATTACTCCGGTTCCTGCGCTGCCTGTGAAAACAGATGGATGCAGAGTTTTAACGACCTGTGCGTTACGAACAAAAGAGGGGAGATCGCCAAATTGAGGAATTCAAGCCGTCTGAGCTGGGAAAGAGAACACCCACGCGATGTTTGAATGCAACTTGTCTCGCTTATTTCAGGCTTGTGCAATCATGTGAAAGCTGAGTGCAGGATGCTTTTTAGCAGAGGCTCTCCTCCTCCATGCGTACAGTCTTTCAGTGCACTCTGCTCTGCGGCCCTAACATGATTGAATGTTCCTCTCAGGTCCCTGCAGGCGCTCAATCAGAGAGTCTTCCATACAAGCCAAGGTCAGCCAGCGAGAGGAGGGCGGTAAATAGGAAGCTTTCATAAAACTGCTTTTTTTTTTGTCCTTTCTTCAAATGGTGACTTTTTTTTTTATTTCATGAAAGATGTGGATACAAACTGGTAGCATTTTGTATAGTGGAAAAAAAAGGAGGTAGCCCCAGGCGGGGGAGGCTTTGAAGAAATGTTCTGTTTTTCTACAGTTCAGTACGCTACTAGAAAACTAAAACTACCTCCTTTAAGATGACCCCCTCCTCTGCTAGTTTCTCTTTTGAAAAAGCTCTTATCCTCCCTTCAAAAGTCTGCAGTGACTAAAAAGCATTTGAAATATAAATCTAAGCAATTCATCTATGGTTTCGGCATGGTTACAGAGGTGCCTCTTTCGGGAAATGATCGTCTTTTTCAACCTTACCGTTAAAGTTTACACCGTGAATATACTGGAGGAGCATCTGTCCCTCCACCGGGTCCATTTTCTCACAGACACCCATGGAGCCAGGGCAGAGGTCGATGTGCATGCTGTGCAGAGCGTGGGCCATGGCGTACACAGCGTCAATCACAAACTGCACCTTGCCCTCCTGCTCGTACTGAGAGTCGCGACTGATCCTTTCCTCACCTGGCAGACATCGAAACAATCACATGAGATAATGAGGATGATGGGGGAAGCAAAGTGTGCTCTAACACAAATAAGGTCAACTTTAAGCGTTTCTTTTTTTTCCCCATTACGGTTTGACTAAAGTTGAGCCCTCACCTGTACATTTTCTCCTCCCGGGGTCGTATTTTATGCCTGGTCGAGTTAGCTTGCACTTAAAGTCATCCTCCCAAAATTCTGCAAACCAGATATTTCTTCTGTTGTTTTCCAGAGACCTTGAAGTGAAGTACTGGTCGAACCCTGCAAGAATATTCCATTTTAGCGTCTCAGTTTTAATTCAAAACAAAGATGGTGAACATTTGCCCCAAAAAATCATGTGATCAAACACTCATTTTAATTTTGTAATGTCATTGTCTGAACGTGTGTCTCTCTGTTTTAACTGATATTGTATTATGTGATTTTGTGTTGTTTTGTCTTCCTGCCTCAGGACAACAGATGCGAATTAGCAACTATGCTAGAATCTGGCTCATTTACAATCTGTATGAGATTGTTAATTAATGTGCACTGTCCTGATTAAATAAATAAATAAATAAATAAATAAAAATGGTTTTGTATGATCGAAGAAAGAATTATTATTATGTGTCTGCCTTGGAAGGTATTAGCTTGTCTATCGGGGGGTGTTACCTGCTTCAATAAAAGGTATTGTACGGCAGGGATGTATGGCTTTGAAACAGATTAATAATTTCTGCAGGTTTGTCACAATATCATTTGTTTTTGCATTGTCGTGGCATTGACAAGTCTATCTATCACATTATTTCGAAGGTACACCTTCTGGATCAAGCACCCTTAGACATAAAGATAAATAAGGCTCTGATCGTGCTAATCCCATTTGATAAATTGTCATACCATCAATAGAGGCCCTTTTTGGCAGGATAGTGACAACACCCTCAGCAACCTCCTCCTGGTCCTCGATGGGGGAGTTTTTGGCCCCCCAGCTGTCGGATCCAACAAACAAGAAGTGGCCGGTGAGGTTGGCTTTTTTTGCGGCCTGCAACACCCGTCTGGAACAAAAAAACAGAACACATCAATCAATCTGGCTCTGTCAAAATGGTGAATGTGAAAGAGGTTTCTTGCTCAATTTCCACTTTCTGTCAGATTTGATCGGAGCTCAACTCACTTTATGTCATCCTCATTGGCAAAGATGATAACCCCACGAGCATTGGAGGTCTCCATCAGTCTCTTGATGATTTTCTCAAACTCCCCTGGCCTGGGCTCTCTGGGGATTCTTATGGACTGTGCAATACACAGCCCTCCTATGTTAAAGACATCACAAACACGTTGGTGGGACTATACATCCTCAATGTTGTCTGCTACTGCACAAGAATGCATTATCCCACATTCTAACATAAACTTAACTTTAATCTCTTATGTCTTTTTTGTGTTTTTTTTTCTCCATGTTGCACACTATCAGACTATCTGCAGGAAAATTGGCATAATTTGGAGACAAATAGTGAATATAGTCCAGGAGCTGAACTACACTTACACTGCATTACGAATGCAATTTGTCCATACCCAGTCCATCAGTGTCGCACAACCACCACCAATTCTTTTTCTTTCACTGTCTAACGTCCTCATCAAACATTCAAGCCAATGACAATGTACTGTCACAAGACTGAGCCTGGAACTCACGCTAAGGTGCTCACAATGGCATTGCTAGCACGCTATTGTTTAGCGCGTAGACCGTTTTGGGTCCCGGTTTGGCACGCTGTCATTTGAGTGGAATTAAACGCAAAAGTGCAACGGTGGCCGTTGGGAATTGAGCGCATGAATGCGTGCACAGACTTCTACAGTGAAAAAGACACTGATGTAACATTTTTTTGTCGACATGACGGTAGTGGACGTAACAGTGTCCGGCTCTTTATTAACCACTGACGTGTGAGGTTTGATTGAATTAAATCTGCACTCTTGTCACAGCATTTGTGCTTTTTAAAACCTATATCATGGCTTGGCCTGTTAGTCTTTGAGTATTAAAGGGATTGCTCTCTCCTATTTTAGTCGTTTTAATGAGCAGGAACAGTTCGGCTTGATGAGTAATCCCTAAATGTTGCGGCCGTGAGTTTATATTCGACCTGCTTCTCTGGATATCTGCAGGAAGGCGTCGACTCCACTCTCTCCGTAGTTGCCCTCGGAGGCAATCGTTGAGACGTAGTTCCAGCCCATGGCTTTGACGATGTCCACCATGGCCTGGGCCTGGTAGGAGTCGGGGGGCACCACGCGGGAGAAGAACTCGTAGCGGCTCTTGTCGCTCAGCTCTGGGGCGGTGGAGGCGTAGCTGATCTGCGGGATCTGAGACACAGCGATGGGTCAGCGCCGATGAGAGAGTTGAGTCAAGTGGAAGCATAAACAGCGCTGATTATTAGGCCAATACATGAATCAAAAGGTAAAAAGGGATGACGAGAAGAGGCAACGAACCGTGCCAACGGATGATGCACCACTTAGTCACGGACAAACTCTTAACAGACTCCAAATGGACTCTTGGCATTAATACCACACGTTGTGCTTTAAAATCTGGACGGCGTAGAAGAATTGAATAGAAGTACTGCTGAGGGTATCTCCAGAATTACAGTAAAAAATAAGCAAACTGCTGACATGGAAGCTTTTGTTTATAGGGAAAATGATGTGGAGATTGTGTGCCACTTCTTTAATGACATAGTTTTTGTGGACAGTCTTAACCCCGAATCTGCTAATGCTGGTGCCCCAGCCTGGCTTAATGTCATGCCCTCTGGAGGGAACGAGGAGAGAAAGGTAGACACAAGGGGTAGTGAAGAGAGAAGGAGAGAGGAGTGAGAACCATTTCACAGATTATCTGGAAGGATTATAGGGGTTTTAGGCAAATTATGTTAAGCACAGCAGGAGAGAAAGAGATCAAGAGACTAGAAAAAGGTTAGCATTTCTCAGCTGTAAGCCATAGAATATATTTAATTCTGATGGCCAAATGCAGCTTAAAATCCAGGCTCAGTTTTAACCCCATCAACCTGATACCTCCTGGTCAACCGTCACGGTGCTGACCACTTCACCGACCGAGGTTGAATTTCTGCCAGGGCTGCTACCACCCAGCTAAAGCCACTGGTTCAACGACGGACGCGGCACGTTGCCAGCCTCCCAAATCTGTCTCAGAATCTTTGAGGTAATCAAATGTTTGCACACAAATTTCTAATGAGCAAGACAACGCATAATCCTCTGCAAATTAATCCCACAGAGGCATCTGCTCTAATTCACATGCTAAAATCAATTAGCCCTATCAGTAACGCAGCCATCCTTCTATAGTCTAGTCTGACTCATCAGTGGAAAACTAAAGAGGCCGTGTCAAACATATATGCTGTACCTATTAATATAATCCATGGTGATGGATCAGTGGAGAAACTGTGCATTCATCATTTTTTAATACAAGAAAAAGTAGAGTTATTTTAATTACAATCAGCCTGTTGTCACACTCATTTGATGAATTTAATCATTTTTATGCACAGTTTATAAATTTAGAGTTTAAGTAACTAGCATGTCCATAGCAGATTAGAAGAACCAGAAGATAATCTAGAATTTGATTCGATTGGATGGCGATTTATTATCGCACTTAAGATGTTATTAATGAAAGATTCACATTAAATATGAACATCTCATTCATCTACACAGCCATAAATGACCATATAGCTGAAGGATAGTCAGTCTAGTCCAGAAAGTGGGCCATATGGACAGTAGGAGGAAAAACACCATTTAGCTAGATATACTCTGCCCAGGTCACAAGTTTCTGTTATCCTAGAAGCAACGTCATACCGCTGCCCTGATGCTCTATTTTCAGCCCCGAGTCCCCAGCTGCTGAGAGGGGCTTAGTGGAGGTTGGGATCTATAATTCTGTAGTTAACATCTGCCTTGTGTGCAAACTGCCTTTCCTTTTTCTTCAAATCAGCATATTCACCATGAGGAATGTGTTGAGCATCAACCGTAAATATGAAGATATTTACTTTTGTTTTCTAAATTTCAAGTGGGACTGGCACGGATTCCATCGTATTGCCATCATTGCTATATAGGTGTTGTGCAACCAGTGTAATATCAAATCCGTGTTAAATGTCAGTCATCTGAAAAAACAAAAATTAAAGATTGCACACACAACATGGATTAGCCTGCACAGGTCACTGATGAGAATGGATTTATCAGCAGTGACCTGATGTAGACTAGTTCAGCCTTCAACGCATAAGTTCTTTCTGACTACAGACTTTGTTGCACTATCATTATTAAATCAGGCTGAATTAGGTAAATGTGTGTCATTGTTCGGAGGCAATAAAGTAAATGCAGCACAAAGCATCTTAATGAGATTTTATTATGAATCGTTAAACCGCATCATACCCATTATTGTGTACAGGACCAAAAAGAAAATGTAAGAATTTAATGATTGCAGATGGACACATTATCATATGAAGTTATTTTCAAAATTGAATAAGACTTACAGCTGCAGATGGTTTCGCATCAGGACACTTTGTACATGAAAGGGCACTGGGAGAACCAGTAAAACAGATCATACAAGCTTTAATCAGCTTTGAAAGTTCTGACAAATTCTGGTGCCTGCGTATTGAGCACTAGTGGGTACTGATTTGGCAAAAGCTAAAATATTTTAACGTGATTTACTATTTATTCAATAATCCCACGCCTACGCTTTGTGCTTCTCAGCTGGCCTTTAAAATTTAGCCAATATTCAACACCTGCATAACTGATTATTTAGAGCATTGAAGAAAATCTGGTTGCTCATATTTGGCGTTTGTTTCGCTATTATGAAGAACTAAAGAAATGAAACACCATGTGACATGGCTAAACCAGGAAACTACAACAGAAGACCCATATAACCTGATCATTTAGTAGAAAATAATCAATTTGGAGTGCCCGTATTTTGTAATCATCCTTCGTAATCCTGGGCCAAATGGAACCTTTTCCCATGCCTTCTATTGCCATTCTCTGATTTCATTGGTAAGAGGGACAATCGTAAATGTTGTGGACTCACCGAAAACAGTCTGAGCACATTCGCCACCATGATGGACACGGAGCTGCCCGACGCCCCAATCACGCCGACCACCCTCTCCGGTTTGGGAATGATGGGCGGCTCTCCGTTGGAGCAGCGCACGCCCGAGTTGTCCTTCTGGATGAGGGCCTGGACGAAGGTAAGCGACTGTTCCAGCGCGTAGGTGTCCCTGGAGCAGGTGTCCAGGATGCGGGCTCCGAGGGTGATGTTTGGCAGCAGGTCGGGGTCACTGTTGATCTGGTCCAGGGCGTACAGCATGGCCTCCAGTCGATGGATGCCCTTCTCCCTCTTGATCTCGCCGCAGGCGACGCCCACGGGCCCTCGAGAGTGGACGGGGAAAAGCCCGCCCAGGGTGATGTCCCCCTCGATTTTGATGGACTGAGGCTGCGTGCCCTGCTGGGCTCGCGAGACCCGACCGACGCCCGCCAGCAGGACCCAAAGCACCTGAAACCATGTCTGGTGTCTGGTCAACGTACCGAGCCAGCTCAGAAGATGAGATGAACGGGCCTCTGATGTCATGATGAAGATCACCAGGCCACTCCCTCTACTGTAGACACCTGAGGACGGTCAGAAAAACGTGTTGAAATGTATACTTTTGGTATAAAAAACAAAAAAAAAACATCAATATGAATTTATTATTAGCATCATCGCATATGACACATTGGACAAAATGGCCAATGCTGAGGATCACCTCAGTGATACAGATCCATTGGTAAAACAGGTCGATTGCTGCATTATTCTTTGGGTATTCTTTTGTCTAAGAAGGAAAGCTGGAAAAATAAAACTGACACCATGCGAATAAAAGCTCCTACCAGGAGTGCTGGATCTGAATCCAGTGGGGCAGCTCGCAAGATAAACCGACAAAGGGTCGTGTGTTGATATTTCATTTAACCTGGTTAACATTTCTAAACACAAAGAATGGGAACAAATTTGAAATGAATGGTGTCAGAAGGTTTAAGACATCCCTGATATTCATTACCACTGGAATGTGCTCTGCAAAAATATGTGTACATTCATGAGGTGGATATTAAGAATTAGTAGAATTTATGCAAGCATTATAATATTATATTGTAATAAATTTTAGTTGGATGGTACGAAAAAGAAATTGCATCCGTGGAAATGCTGTTCTGTGAAACTGATAACTTATTTGGTTTTAAGATATAAAGATGTGCAAACAGTACCTGCCATCTAACATCTGATTTTGTGCTCTAAATTGGATGTGAGAAGCTGTAAGAAAAGGGACAAAGTACCAGTGTGTGTACGCACATGAAAAAAAATGAAAAAAAGCTGAGGTTGAAGAGGTTTCAGACAGCATGCAGGATGGTGCAGAGTGAGCGCTAGAAGCTTTTATCACCAAGAGCCCAGAGCCGACGATGGAAAACACCATAAATTTTGCAATACCGAAAACATCACGTAAACTGTCAGAGCATTTCATGCTCCAAAGCAGGAGCAGGTTCATTATATCTGCATGAACAACAGTGGAATCCACAGTAATCTAATAAGCTTTTTTAGATATAAAAGGTGATCAAAATATTTCAGATTTTACATCAGAAATTTGACAGATCAGGAATTTATAACAGAGCAATTTCTTTATATCACTGGATGAATAAGAAGTTTCTATTCTCCAGGAATTAGCTTTTTTATCATTTATAATGCAAACTCAAAGCAGCATTTATGGCATCCCGTCTTTGTATTTTTCCACATTTGTGAAATTTAAAGTTTAAACCTGAAATCAGCTGAAAGTTTAAGATCAACAAGAGCAAAAAAAAATGGAAAGCACAAAACTCACAACTGTTGCAGACATGTTCCCGTGGCAGAAATGCAAGAGGGGAAGGCTCAGCTTACCTGCCCATTCTTTACGGGCACGACTTGATCTGATCCATCACACGGGCTGTGGAAGCCAGGCCTCCGAGCGTGGTCCGAAAAACGTGCGACGTTCCTCCGATCAGGGCTCTTTTCTCCACGCCAGAATTAAATCCTCTGTCATGTCAGACAGTCTGTTGTGCCTCATCAAAAAATAACCAAAACACGCCAAAACCACCGCGCTGCAAAAAGTAATAGTTGTGACTTCTAAAAGACAGAATGAAAAAAAAAAAAGGCACACTTTTGAGGCTTTAGGGGATGGTTTCCTGGCAGAAGCAGAGAGAAGTGCAACATTACAGCAGCGATTTTCTACAAATCACTGCCAAATCCTTTAAAAGCTCTCCCTCTCCGCCGTTCTTTTGCATGTGTGTGTGTCTCTCTCCAGGCATCCCCTCCCTCCCTCCCTCTTTCTCTCTGGTGAACCTCCGCCTCTCTCGTTCTTTCAGAGCACTAATGGACACAGATTGGGATTATCATGCAGGCGTCTGTAAAGAAAGCAGTCAGTGGACTGGACCTTTTTTTTTTTTTTTCCTATGGTGCTAAAGCAAATGCAGAACACCCCCCGCCCCCCACCCTACCCCACCCCCCTCCACACACACACACACACGAGCATGATAGAACTCTGCCACTTTCAGCGATTAGATGAATAGTGATTTGATTCTTACTCTTCTTCTCTTGACCGCACACACACTTACGTTCACAACCCTGTCAACACAAGAGAGTGTTAGAGAATATCGGTTTCTGCATCACAGAATATGATTGAAGTGCTCCGAGAACAGCAACGTCCCAGATCGGTTTGAAGCTCATTTGTCAATTACATGCTTGAATGAAGGATCATTGTTGCCGTTGACAGTTCCAACAGAGAATGCATCAAGTTTTTAGACTTCTGTCTTGGTTCTTACGTGAAAGATCACAACACACAAAGTAATACTTTCACAGTTTAGTTTTAATAGTTCAGTAAACGCACTGAGTTATATTAGAAAAACAGATTTTAGTTTGCACAGTCATCTCAAAACAGTGAAGGTCTGAGGTCTATAGTACCATGTTTAAAACATTTGGAGTGAAACTCTACCCTAAGAAGACAGATTTCTCCAGGCCATCTTCTACTTTGGTGTACTCCAGGTGAGATTTAAAGTACTGGCTCTTATATCGGGGGCTGTTACGGACGTACTCAAGGTAGTCAGGGGTTCCCGGGCAGATGACATTATCTGCCAGCAAGATGCTGCCTTTCCTTAGAAGACCACACTCCTGGGATGTAAAAAGAAAAGAACACAGTGAGAGTCACAGTAATGAGTCAATTGGTCTGCATTAAAAAAAAATAGCAATAGCATAACAAAGTCACCTCCATCAGTTTTGTGTCAGGTAGGTAGCGATCTTTCCAGTGATCCAAGAAAACCAAATCAAATGTTTTAACCCCAAACTCCTCCTTCATTTTAGGGATCCAGTCACCGGATGCTCCTTCAACTAACTGAATCTATAAAGAAGAGGATTGCTGTTACCTGAGCCGTACACATCATCCTTCGCCCTTTGAGTCTCTTAAGGGAATCAGGCTTTACCTTATCCTCCAGTCCGGCCCAAGCGATGACCTGTCGAGCTATGACTGCGTTGTCCGGGTTAAATTCAAGAGTGATCAGCTTTGCATGAGGGGGCAGCAAGCTGGCGATCCGCACCGTTGAGTAGCCGCAGTAGGTCCCCAGCTCCAGCACCGTGGCCGGATTCACCTCAGACACCACCGAGTCAAGAATGCACCCTTGCGGACAAAATAAGTGAACCGACACAAATATTAAGCTCGGTTTGGTAAAGTGTGCTCTATTTTTCCCTCATCAGTCGCAATAGTCATCCATTCAAAAGTCAGTACCCTTCTCGTCCCCCACGTTCATGGCCCACTCCTTCTGTCTGCAGAACTGATCGATGGCTTTGACCACGCTGCGAGGGTCTCCTCTAGTGGCATTTTTCTGTACTGCAGCCAACATCCGCTGTAGGAGGGCAAAAAGACTTAATTTAACCATACTTAACAGATCATTCATTGTGAACACTACCACAGGATCATTGTTAACATAGAAGTGGGACATGTGGATTGGCTCAGATCTTTTTTATAATGATATTTGCTTCTATTCAGACATTTACATAAACCTACACATAAGTACTAAAATAGACAGTAACTGCTGTAAAAAAATATATCTGGGGACTTTCTTAATTAAGTCAAGAGAGTATTTTTAAGTCGTTGGCAAAAATACATTAACATAAAAATGATTTCCATTTTCTTTTTACATTACAACAGGTTTTTAGAGAAACACACTTGGGAAGAAATAATATCCTAAACATGAGTGTGGTTATTCATCCTAAACATCCATCCATCCATTCATCCATTTTCTGAACCACTTAGTCCCTAATGGGTTTGCGGGGGGACTGGAGCCTATCACAGTGGTAAATGGGGTACACCCTGGACGGTCCATCAGTCCATCACAGGGCCACACAGAAACACACAAAGACAAACAACCACACACACTTACACACACACTCACTCTTAAGGGCAATTTGGTATGTCCAGACAACCTAACATGCAGGTTTTTGGACAGTCGGAGGAAGCCGGAGAACCCACACAGACACAGGGAGAGCATGCAAACTCCACACAGAAAGGTCCTAGTTCCCCTGGGGACTTGAACACAGAACCCTCTTGCTGTGTGCCACTCTATCTTAAACATGAGTATTATTTTTAAAGAAAGGAAAAGTGAAACATCTTGTAAGACGAAGACACTTAGGTAGACACACAGCACAGTTCAGATCATAACTGTCCCAGGGTATTTATAGGTGTCATTAAAAACATTAGTAACCCTGCCATAAAGTCTGCCAGCGTACCAGCATGAACAGTGGAGAAGTTTGAAACCTCAGTAGAACAGAGATAAGATACAGTAAAAAGCATCAATTACACATTTTAGACATGGAGTGAATCAAATTTATAAAAGACTCGACTCATTTTTCAACTTTAAAATAAACACAGGCAAACGATTCTTATACAATAGGAAATTGTGATTTTAAAAAGGATGGAATTAGTCTATCTTTAATTAATTACAATAAAAGTGTAGGATTTAAGCACATTTTGTTGCCACTTGATTGAAATTTGTAACTCAAGGAGGCACATGGCACTCTTGCTTCACCCAGAGGGAAATACCTCAATAATTATTTCAAGGATTATCTCTGAAACAAATGCAAGCTAAAGACATTTACTGTTCAAAGGTTAGAATCCATTCAAAACAATATTGTTCTTGATTATCCTATGATTTCAACTAGAAGTCATGTGATAAATTGGAGCAGTCGCAACAAAAGCCAGGATAAGTTTTGTAATGCTGAGAGAGATACTGATGTATTTAATCACTAATTTGTTCAGATGACAACAGATCAAAGACACAACTGAGTATCAAGGAGGTCCAAAACAATATGGACACAGTTCAAATCCGTCAAAATCCATGGACAGATAGGAACAATGAATCAAACATTTCATTGAATTATTTCAAAGAATTTGAAGAAGATTATAAACTATTGTGCTTTAAAATAAGCATGAAATATATAATATTTAGTTCATAATGGACAACGCCATAATCCAGTGATGAAAGGCTGAGTTCTGACACCGACTGGAATGCAGACACAGCCCTGTGCATATTCTGTGAGGGAGGCTGAGCGGGCTCAGGGACACCTCTGAAATCATTAATCAAGCCGAAACCGTTGCGCAACAATCTGGATGTTTTACAACACCCTTGTTCTGCTGTTCAGCCGAAAGAGTGGTAGAAGCAGTAAGAGTTTTTTAAGGACATCAGCATTTTTTAATTGTCATTTTCACCAACTTGGTGTGGGGATGTATATCCATATACTGTATATATACACAATTGCAAGTCTTCATAAAAATATATTTAAGTTTCTACACCAAAAATTGTTTAATTTGAATATGCTTAATCTTCTCATTGATATTCAGTTAGCTCTTGTGTCTATTAGACTGATCAGTACACACTAATGCAAAGATTCTCAGCACACAGAAGAAGTCTGCAACTTGTCTTGTGAATCTTTCACCATAAGCCAACATAAATGAAAAAAGGATAAATGCACTTTGACCTGCGTCTTTGCACACTTTGCATTTCATCATGAATTGCTTCCTAACTGGCCTAACTGGATAAGGCCTCCCCCCTTGAACTGAACTCTATGTAATACTGGAGACACTGTTTGGCCTTGATGATTCTATAGTCAATCCAAATCAAGGCTGGATGTTTTTCTTGATTTTTTTTTTCTTCTAATGGATGCTTTTTTTCTTTTTCTAAAAACATTCACAGCTGTTAGAAAAGTTTTTTTGTTCCTTTGGTCATTTATATCTACATGTCATGAAAACTGATTTGTTAAAAAGCACAAAACAAAAAAGTCCTGAGCCACATTCTGACTAACTCATTAAAAATCTTGGCAATCAGTCGATTTAACAATACGAACTTTACCCCACTAAGCAACACACAGCCTAACACACACACGCACACACAGCCAGCCCTGGTGACATTGAATCTTATTAGTTATGGATGCGTTAGTGGAAGGTGTGAGAGGTTAAGTGTTCGGTGTGGGGCCCACCTGAGGACGTGTGGACTGGGTCAGGGTGTCCAGCATCCGCTCCACGACCACGTCGTGCCAAAACAGCGCCAGTCCTGCGTGGTGCTGCGCGGCGGCCGGGATCACCCATCTGTACAGAGCGTACAGGAGAGCTCCGCCGAGGCAACTGTAGAGAAGAGTCAGCCACATCCTGCAACCGGGAAAGATTATATGAGCGTCGTTCTGGAGAGACGCTGTGATAAATGAAGCACTGGCACAATGCAAACATCTGCAGCAGAGAGAGAGATCAAAAAGCTCTCACGCCCCCCCCCCCCCCCCTCCTCACTCCCTCCGCTCTCTTTGTATTGAGCTAATGAGATGGGTGTTTACTATCTAGTGTACAATACTGTAGCTGCTCCTGTTTTCCACGTCCAAGATGGACACCCGCTCCCACATCGCTCGACATGTTATCGTGTGTGAGAAATCATTCAACGTCAGCTGCGATAAACGCAGCCAAACTCGTGTCACGGCGCCTTGTGTGCCAGCTGGGGGCACTTGGTCTGTTAAGACATCTTGAGCACGGACAAAAATGTGGAAGAAAAGCAGAGAGGAGAGGAAAAAGCACAGTCTGAATCTTAAAGAAGTGCTGCTTCTGTGGGAAAGCAGTGAAGAGCAGAGCTGGAAAAGACCCTACCTTGCTCTAATAATGCAAGTGAAAGACCAGTGGTGGTTGAAGTAATCCCTTTTGATTTGGAGTTTGAGTTGCATGGCAACTGGCTGGGGGTTAAGAGCTGTGTCACCAAAGGCAGAGCACTGAGACTTTAACCTTTACTTTGGCTACATGCGAACATAAAAAAGGCACAAAACTGAAACACAGAACAGTCTTTCCATGCATACATTTTTTTTTAAATGGCAGAGACATGAATACATAATGCCATTTACCTGTCTTCACTTTACAGTGAAAACAAAGATATACATGTCTTCAAATGAAAGAATGAAAGAGAGAATAAGACTGTTTCAGGAACATCGAAGGCTGTATCTAGAGTGCTGCTACAATGCAAGTTCAAGAAATGTAATCTTTGTTCTCATAAACATTCACTGCACATGCAAATGTTTCTCAATCCAAGGCTATTACGATTCTAGCCTGATCCCTGGTCACCCTTTCAAAACAGAGTCTTCTGAGCAGAGATAAAAACAACTTATGCATTCATAAAGGATCTTTCTGCTTAAAATGTAAGGGAAACGTGACTTACATGTGTTGCAGGTAGCGTTCCAGTCCTCTGCTCACCTAGCGTCGCTGCTCTGGGAGAAGCTGAGTTTTCTACCAGCCGGACATATGCTTGCGTTTACATGAAACTAACTCCTCCCTTCTCTTCCTTCCATCCCCCCCCTGCTCCGAGCTGCGCTGAATGTGGGCATGCATGGAATGTACAACAAACCTAATCTCAACAGTTGACACAGTCACACACCCTCCCTTCTCCTGAAATAAAAGGGGAAAAAATCATTTCTGTGTGGCTCTCAGTGGATTATTAGGTTATAAAACCTCTATGTTGTAAACAGGTTTATATTTTACCTTTTCAGCTCATTCTTTAAGAACAGTTCAAGATTGAATTGAGAGAGAGGAAGGATTAAAACCAATCAAATGTATGTTTATTGAGATTTTTTTATAATCTTTTTTTAAAACAATTTTTTCAGAGACAGAAACCTTGTTGCTTTCTTGCTTAGACTGACTTAATATAGCCATAAAAATAATACAATACCAAACACGATTGTGAGAAAACTCCTCATTAATCCAACAAATGAACGACAGCAGTTCTTCATGATGCCAGCATCAATCTACACCCACATCTGGCCATGTCCTGTGATACCCAGAGTCTGCTGGGCTCTGACATTCTGAATTCAAGAGGCCATCCAGGGGTGTTTCAGACACTGAGCAGCAGTGGCTCTTTTCTCTGGCAGAAGCTCCAACATGGTAGAGAGAAACGAACTGAACTCTACAGCGTCCTCTCGCAGCCACTCGTACTTATCCAGCAAGATCTCCAACAGACTCCACGGTTTCAGCTTTGATATACGTCTCAGTTGTCCTTTGGAAGATTTTTTTAAAAGACACATGCAATGTCAAAAAATATATTAACATTTTTTAACCTCAAACAAATTAGATGAAACAATAAATCCAAAACATGAATCTATCTACACATTTTAAAAACTTGTTCATAATGACGGCTAGAAGATAATAATGTTAACATTTCTGTGTGTAAAATTTTTTTATAATTAAATACATAAATGTACCTTTACGGTTAAAAAACCTCTTGGAGTTTTTCCCAGAGAGGGCAAACTGGGAGGGAAGAGGGCCCAGCAGCTCAATGATGTGGGCAATGTGATCTGAGAAGGACATGGACACGTGCTGCGTTGTATGTATTTCAGTCCAGAGGAAAAGCGATGTTGTGAACAACACACACCTTCCTCGCGGGAGAACGCTGCTCCTGACTGCGGGTCAAACAAGTAGTCTCCTGTAGCCAGCTCAAAAGCCTGCCATACAAATATGGACACAAAATAAAGTGATTCATGTTTAGTTATGTGATTTCCTTAAGAAAAGTATGAAAATAGGCAGACTCCCCGCTCACCATGCAGGCAGTGCTCCAGATGTCAGCTGGGGTGTCATAGCTGGCACCTATTAAGACTTCCACAGAACGGTACTGACACGTCTGAATGTCCTCTGTGAAGTGTTTGTGCTGAGAGAACAAACAAGACACTGTAAACATTATTAGGACTATTACACCTTTCATCATTTGACTGAAATGAGAAATAAATTCTTTAAATTCTAAAAAAGTCAAACCTGGCATAAAACTGACTGTTCAGACTGTTAAAAATCTTTTTTGCTGAGTAAGGTGCATATTGTAGGTGAATTAAAAGACCAGGAGAGCACCCATGATTAGATTGTACATAAATTACTGGTCCATTTTTGGATTCACTAATAATAACAGACAGGCATTAAATGTCCCTTTTTATAGCACAGGGTGTAATTCTTTTCTACCTTCGGCCACAAAACAGCAATCATTTAAAAAAAAAAATGGAATTATCACAGTGGTACAAACAAATCATTATCTATCATTATAATATGTTATTCATCTGAAGTGTCACCAACTTTTATATCCAAATTTAAAGAAACAATGAAACATGTTTCAGATTGGATCACAGCACGGGAAATATCATCTTTTCTCGACAAAACGACAACAACAAACCGCTGACGGTGAAAATACCATTTGTGTCACATTATTGACTAAATAAAGATTCTAACTTAACAGTGAAATCAATTCACATTTAGATTTGCCAGCTCAATGAGTGGGTCTATCACACTGCATATTGATAAGACCGATGGGTTATTAATCTAGGTTTTGATTTTTCACTCACCACCCAGCACGCATTGCCCAGGTCAGCAATCTTGATAAGGATTTTGTCAGCATTCTGGGGCTTCAGCAGGTCCAGAGGTACATCGGAGTCATTGATTACTAGAATACAGAGAAGCATTTGAAGTTGAAAGTGATCAAACTTTGAAAAAAGCTGATGATCTTGGTTAAATATAAGTTCATTTTAAACACATTGCTTTAGTCATTTAGATTTGTGGTTAAGTTTTCAGAGACACACAAAATGCTGAAGTCCCAAATTATTAAAATTCATCAAGAGACTGACCACAAGCCGAGGCTGGAGAAGGTGGAGTGTGATGTAATAGTGATCTGGAGGCAGACACAGAGGTCCCAGCGCTGAGGTTTGGACATGAACAAATTAGGTTTCTTTGGCTTTGTGAAGCCGAGTCCTGTCCATCTTCAAAAAGCAAAGTCTGTCTCCTTATCTTGAGGTTAGGACCTGTGAGCTCTGACTGACAAGTGGAGCTGTGTGTGCTTGAAGGAGCGGCTGCGTCACAGAAGGACACGTGGTGTTTGTTTTGCTTATGGTCAGACAGACTCTTCGCTGGTCGACGGCTTCTGTCTTTCTCAGTCTGTCGTTTGACCGGCCTCCTGGACATCTTGTTGGACTGGACGGTCCAAACAGTCGTGGGAAACAATCAGATTGTGAAGGTGTCATAGAATAAAAGCCTGACAGTAGCTCAGTAAATGATTGGCCTCATGCCTCACACCGTGCAAACGTCAAGCAGCTAGGAGCAGTGTAGGAAAATGTCTTCTTCAGTCCTGTCTACAACACTGACACATAGCCATAGTTATATGTTCAGCATGTCTGCATAAGATTCGGAAAACTTTGGAGTTAGTTTGGAGTGCTGTGCAAGAGTGGGTTGCTAACAACACGCTACGGTGAAACTAAAACAGCAGCTGCTGGACAACATAATGCTCTGCTGTCTCATGTGACACAAACCAGGCACAGACACAAGCTTCAAATGACCTGTAAGGAAAACTGCGCTTTCTTTGCCTCAGCTCAACAGCAGAGAGGAGCTTCAGAGATTCTTACCCAGTAATACAGTTTGGACTTGTAAATCTGTTTGCAGTTTATGT